ACATTTTATCCGGCAATGTCAGCAGAAAGGCGTGACATTAGCAGCTGTCGTCACCGCGGGGGTTCGTTTTTTGGCGACACTGCAACATGAAACCCAAGCCAGCCCCCTCAATTTCACCCATCGGTCGACCATTTTCAAATCTCCCTCTGATGGATCACATGCAAGTGCCATTGTGTTTGGCTTTTTCATCAGAGAACAGATTTCCTTTTTTTCCCAATTTTTTGTTGCTTGTGACAACAGTTTGCTTTAAAGCAGCCAGCAGACGGCGTAAACTTTTTAATTAATATCAAATATGAAACGTTGCCATATCCGCGAGCGTCCCAAAAATCAAAAACCTACTGGGAACATGCGCCTAACCGGGAGAAAGTGAAATGAGGCAGAGCTTGTTAAAAGTTTTAATTAAATTGATTGTCGCTTCTTTGTCTCCGTTTGTTCCACGTAAAAGTACTGCTAACGCGCCTTCATATCTGTCTCGAATGAATATTAATTGCAATATTCAAACAGTTTACAAATATTTAAAGTATTAAAGAAAGGAAAGAAATGATATAATAAATAATACATATTTAAAATATATTTTTATTTAATATCGTTTTTGGTGTTATAGCGACATATTATTCACGATTTTACATTAAGAACTGTGTTTCTTTTTTCCAAATAATTTATGACTTATTGTGCGTTAGCAAAAAAAAAAATAACTTTGAATTCCTAATATAAAGCTGGACATTTAAAAGTTAGGTAAAGGCTCTGTAAGGCTAAAATTCTTAATAATTTTGAAACCAAGCCCTTAAGGAATAAGAAATTCCCCTGCAAATTTGACGGCTTCTTGACGGGCAATTAAGGGCGCGAAACTCGCTAGTCATGTGGACAATAATACATGCCACAAACAAGGACACCACCGGCGCTGTCATTCCACAGAAGCCAACTGCTGTCGCCCGCAGGCGGCCTTCCCTAGTGGGCGTGGCAGGAGGTGTAATAACTCCACCGAACTTCCACCGACTGCAATCCCATTTAATATAGTTGTAAATGCATAATGAGCTGGGCAGAGTCCCATCGATAAACCATCGGTGATTTTTTATAGCGGTTTAAAACGCGTTTAACGCTTTTTCAATATCAATACGTACATATATATTCTTGATTTTACTTTAACGGCAACATGGTGTTCGGTTTTTTTCCCCCATTGAGTCTTCAATTTTTTTTATTGACTGCCTTTTATATTATTATTTAAAAATTAATTATACGCCACGTTGGCTCGTTTGGGTTTTTGCCGCATTACTTCGTCGCATTTTTACCGGTCGTTGCCACTTTTAATTTAAATATAAAATATTGACTTGTCGCTACCCGACATCACCTGGCCATATATTAAAAAATAGTTATCGCATATTAATTTAAATTTACTTTGCGCGCTGTGGATAAGCCATAGTGTTCCCTGCAATTTTCATGCACATTTATTATCTTAAGATGAATAGGTCCAATGCTTTTTAATCAGTTTTGGCTGCCATATAAACGAAGTTGTGTAAGCCTGGACAATTTCTACTCTTAAGCTGATCTTAATTTTTGGGGTGTGATAGCTTTCTGTAAAATCATTTTGTGGTGTGACCTTCACGTAAGACATAATCAATGGAAAATATAATGGGATGTGGATTAATATAAGTATTATATATCATATTAGAACCAGTTTAAATCTTTATTGTTAAAAAAATTAAATTTAAATTTATTAATGTTAAAAAACCGAAAGAAATAACTAAAAATATTAATCTACATAATAATTTAGTTACAGAACCAAGACAAAGTGAGATCGTCTCAGGCGAGTCTCATAAAACTGTTGACCATTTAAACGATTTTATGATGGCCAATGCCAAGGCATTGAAAATAAAACGCGGCCACCAAAGGCTAATAGAAAGAGAAAGATGGCGTTGTAAAGAAAGAGAGAGGGATAACAAAAAAAACAAGAAGCGAATCGAAAATAGTGAAAAATCAAGCGCTTGGCTGGAATTTCATACTCTTTGGATGAGTGTGAGTGTGTTATCCTTTGACAAGGACGTAAGTGTGTAAGTCCCTCCATCGTCCTTTGTACCTTCTGGCAGCCAACCACGTCGATGTGTTGACCATTTTATTATATTTGCTCTCAGACATTTTTGCTCTAATACGAAAATGGGATTTTAGGATATAAAAATTATGATAGATTACCGTTGCATTCCCATACTCTCACCACCATCACCCGTCGTATTTTTTGGCAATTGCCACACACTTGCCTTGCAGTTCACCATTTCGGCTTACACTTGTACAATTATTTCAAATGCAGAACATTGTGTAATTTACTTAAGCCGCAGCGAAAATAAAGATGGATCCTATGTAGAACACGTGATTATTTCGAATAGTAATCCTTATCTTTTTTAACATTTAGCATTTTTAAATATTGGAATTCCGTTTTATTTCTTTAGATATCCGTTTTTAAGACGAGCTTAAATAATTTTATTTGCATTTAATTAATTGAGTTTTAGATATTTATCTTAAGCTGAACATTTTTATATAAAATTATTTTGTTAAGTGTTAACCTCATGCATCTTCGTCGAAATTTCGCCGACTTAGCTGGGTAAAATCATTTGATGATAAAAATGGCCCTCAATTGCTTTGTTGCTTGTTGCACGTCGCTGGTTGTTATTAAATTGAAGACGGGCAAAAAGCGAAAAACATGCTGGAATAGAGGATGTGGAAGACCTGGGAAAACAGCTGACACAAAATGGATCCATCTAAAATAACAATCATAATGTTGACTAGTGTATTATAATGGAGATGTATAAGGTTTAGATTTCCTTTTAAATGACAATTTGTGCACCCACACATTATTATAATATTAAAAAAATTAATTTGTTTTAAAAACAATCATTATACTTCTTATGTTGGTTTTATAAGATGTATATTGTTGCTTGTTAGTACTTCATAAATAAAGATGCAGATTTAAAAAGTTTACTATATCAAAGAAACTGCATTGTCTTAATATTTTTACTGCCAAAATATGATTTCCATAATTTTAATCTTTAAATTTGTTTTATGCAAGCAGCGGAAATTTCCGGAACTACAATGTTGGCGCCATCTATTTTTATCTAAGTGAAGAGTGACATAGAAAGCTTTTGAGAGCTTTTTTAGAATGTACATCACACTTAAAAAGACGTCTTACTTCATTTGAATCTAATTTTAGTACATGTTTAGCAAACTAAATGATTTACTTTAAAACCAATTTTTGGACAATAATAACTAATATTTATTTATATCTATATTTTTGGTCACTTTATCAAGCTTAATAGTAAATTTTATCTAGTTTTTGTGCTACAAATTGCTTTACATTAGAAAAAAAAAATAGTCAAAAACCGTAATTTTTTGTGGGAAACAACAAAGAAACTAGGAAATGAAAAACTACATAAGCCGATAAACTATAAACGATTTCCGAAAGAACTATATTATTAATTTGGAACCTTTATATTTATGCCAAATATTAGTAAAAACAAATATGTTAAGTTATATTTTTCGATTTTTTTGTATACGTTTAATCAGTTTTGAAATAAATTAATTTCGCACTTCTCTGTTATTTTGTTCGTCGTCGCCTTTGAATCATTTTTGTGCCCACCTTTTAATTATGATTTTTTTTAAATTATAGCATTTGTTTGAACTTGTATTTACTGGCTTAATTAAAATTACATTTATCCCTGACAACAACTCAGATCGTGTTGCAACTTTTTATGTGACACTTTAGCAGAGTTGCAAACAATAAACAATTCACACAATAATACACCGCAATACTACTTTTTACAAAGCAAACTAAACAGAGTAATAAATTTGTGTCATATGTGCACAATTGAATAAGATTTTTTAGCTGACGTGTGATATATATTCAAACATGCACAAACGAAAAGGTAATTAAATAAATACAATTAAAATACGATTGCCACCCAGGCGACAATTGAAGCAACGGTGAAATCATTAGCTGATAAAATCAGAGTCAAAAAACCTTAGGGTTCAATCAAGCCGAATATTAAGTCTCCTGCAATATGGTTTCACTCCACTGCTTTTAAACTGACCCGGAATTCGATGTATTTACTTATCAATTTTCTTTGGTTACCAAGTGCAGCCGAGTGGGACGTGATGGCCAGCCTTCTCTTCTATGTACCTGAAATTATTATTTTTTAATTAGGCAGCAACAAATTGCTTCGTGCATTTGTGTGAGCCGCCCAGAGGTCACTGCGATTAACCAACCGCTCAAGTTTTGTGTGACTCTAAATAAAGCCCAACTCAACGCTAAAGTTTCTCTAAGGCTGCAACAATTCATCAAATACGGTGAGACCTTCAAATATTGTCTATTTATTAAAAAAATATTTAATTTTAATGTTTTAATGTTACATAATATTAAGTGAAAATTAACTAAAAGTGTTAAACAAATAGATCAAATTCATATTGAAACATAAATTGTTAGTTGAATATAGTAGCAACTAAACTGACACTAACTTACTTCTTTTATTCATTCTTAATCTTATTTTTACCAATTTCTTTATTTAAACCACCAATTAATAGTTGTTTGCTAAAAGCAATCTCAACGGTATTTGTCATAGCAAGGCTGCACTGTAGCCGTCTGGGGCCACCCGAAATGACTCAACTGTCGAGCAAATGTCGCGTGCTGCCCGCGTTTGCGAGTGAGCGGGAGGAGGCGAGTATTGCCCTCCCGCTCGCACCTGCAGCGGACATTCTCCTTTGGGCCGCTCGCTAACAAGTGGCCTCCGGTACTCGTGAAGCCGCGGTTTCAGCGCGAGTTCAGTTTTTGATTCTGTTTCAAGCGGTTCAGAGTTGCTTAGTCCAGCACAATTGCTTAAAACGCTCTTTTAATTTCTATTATTAGCAGCTTTGAATAATTTAGGCGAAATACGTTGTGGACAGACATTGGTCTATACAAATTTTCACGTGTGAAAAATTTTCGTTATTTGCGGCATCTGACATCTGTTTTCAGTGTTCAAGTTCACTTGTTCGTTTTAAATTTTAATTAACTACACTTTCAGTGGAGCTAATTAAACGAAATTATAAAACAAAAATGGGTAATTCCAGTTCCATTTGCGCCGATCGCAGTGCCATAAGGAATTTCGATGAAAATGGGTAAGAAAAGGAATAAATAGTGCACTAACTCAAACTGAGTAAAAGGCAATCGCAAAATAAAAGAAGATCGAAGAAACGCGAGAGTTGGCCAAAAAGTTTGTGAATAAGAAATATTTATGTTTAAGCAGACTTAAACAAAACAAAAATGTTTGATTTTATTACAAAGCTTTTAAGAAATTTAATTTGATATCTTAATATTCTTGTATAATTTTATATTTGACCCTAAACATTTAGAATAACATATAATTTTCTTAATTTTGCATTATTTTGTTGGTTCTTTACTATATTCCCTTCTAACTTATAGATTAGCCCTGCAATTACCTTGCTTTTCTAGTGCAAACCCAAAGAAAACAACCGCCTACGTGCACGCCCACTTCATAAATCTATTTTCTTTGGGCGTCATTAGTGTTTAATGATGCGGCTTACTTGCGTTTTATCAGCGATGGCACACACCATTCCGCACATCGATATATGTAATATCAGTTCACCACATCTGTAATTAACGATTTTCGAATTAAGCAACAACAACAACAGAACAACAGCGACAGGTGTGTTTTGCTCACGAAAGTCCTCGTTTAAAAAAGAATGAACTCGGTATAAAGTTAGCTGAGGTAAATTGTTAATATGTATGAAGGTTACTAGTACACACATGTGCGTGAAATATTTCAATTAATTCGCCTGCCGTGTTTTACTTTCAATTTTAGTGTAGGTAATAATTGAACAGAGCCGACATCAAAGCTAAAGCTGTACGAACCCACCGGGCGTATGAGTGACTCAAGTGCCCAGTGAGGCGCGGTTTCAAACGATTCGGGACACTTAAGGTTAAGGTTAAGGCCTTAATTCAGGACGGTTTATAATCAGATTTCGGCCTTGGGCCGTCTTCTTAAATTATTAAAACCGATTTTTATAAAAAAAAAAAACTGAGAAGAACTGTTGGTAGGAAGAGAAAAAAATCAAACTTCTCTAAATTAAAAAAACACAACATTTGAAACTTGCTTACATAAAATTAGTCGGAAATTTTTAACTAAATTTTGCAAATGCGCTCAGAAATAAATAAAAATATAAAATAAATTGGTATTAATCTGTCTTATCCACCTTATCTATATATTTAGTATGTACATTAATTATAAAAGAAAATTTTTTATTTATTCTATTATAGTGCTTGTAAAACATAAGTAAAATTGTTGTTGACTAGCGAATTGAAGATTATCCTGACCCAAATAGTGTATGCTTAAACATAAATGGTTTATTTTAAGAAATTCTTATTGAAATGAACACGAAATGCAATTTGCATTCATTTTTTTATTGTAATTGTATATTTTCGACCTCTGTTGTTCTTTTGGAACATTTTCGCATGTTTTTCACGCCGCAGAAAACTGTTTCCTAGGTTTCAGACAGATGATTAGACTGGTAATTATTGTTGTTATTATACGTTAAAGGTTCCTACATTTATTAGCGTATGTATAGATAAGTGTTTGTACCGCCCTTATCAGTCAGCTGATTCCCCCTGCCTACGAATATAACCGATCCAACTAATCAGAGAGAGAAAGAGCGCGGAAAAACAAAACACAAATCGCAAAAATGTAAAATGTAAAAGAGAAAAGAGAAGCGGCGGCAAAACCAATCGAATATTGCGGCTCAGTTTAGCACCAAAGCTGCAGCAAACCAGACAACAAAAAAAAACTGCAGCGAGACAACTGCTGGGAGAATCAATATCAGAAGTTAATATAGGACAGATAGAAGCCATGTACTCGATCCTCCAACGCTTTTCCGGAATCAGAAAAACCTTTGGACGGCTGTGAGTGATTGAGAAAAACAACCAAAAAACAACCAAGGGTGTGATTTTGGATCGACGTTAATCGGTGTCACTTTGTCACCGCTTATCGGTTTCAATCTTGAAGGCCTGTCTGTTAAATGCATCACCTCATCGGGTTCACTGGGGCTTTATAAAGTAGCTGCATATCAACCATTATGAGCTGAAATCAAATACCCTTACAGATGCTGTGATTCCCGTTAATTGGTCAATTCCTTTTTTTCCCTGAATTTTTAAGAAGTTATTAATTCTAAAGACGATTTCCTAAAGAAAATAAAAAAACTGTTCATTAAACTTAACGTTTTATTTATTTGCATTTTATAGGTATAAAAAATGCAATAAACATTACTAAATTAAACAGTGTAAAAGAACGTGCATTGACAAACAGTAAGCATTTTTCCATATCTAAGTCATTTACGTGCGAAGCAAATAATTATTTTCTGGTCTAGGGTTTATCATTTAACATAATCTGAGGCTATTTTTTTTTAAATTATTGAGTAGTTGTTTTAAATTCATAGAAGAACTTTGGTAAGCCCATTTAAAAGTGTTAGTTCGTTTTTAAGTTTGCCAAATTAATGAACATCTCTATATTAGTTTAGTATTATTGAGCTCACTAAACTTTTTAGTTTATTTAAAAGTTACAAAAAATTTCAAAAAATATTACCCATCCGACATTACATTACAGAGAAGTCAAGTAATCTTGGATTTACACGTATCTTGTGGTTTGAGTAAAATCTTTAATTCCCTTGGAAAGGGCATTTTCAATTCATCGACAAAGTTGGCTATGCCGTTATTGTCACTCCCGCATTGACATTCACTCACACTCAATGCGCTCAGTATTTCTTCTATAATTGAATTACGGAGCATTGCAGAGAATATATCTCGCATGCCGCTAACACAATTCCGTTATTGTCTCCCGTGCCACTCTCCCAATCTCTCATTTCTCATCCAACCAACACACCCACCCACTCACCCCCGTTTTGTCTGCTCTCTCTCTCTCTCTCCCTCAGCACGCCGGTATATCCCACCGCCAACAATTCCCAAAGTCCTTCCCATGGCCAAATAACGCCACTGCACACACACAGCCACGAGAAAGAGCCCTACAAGACCACGATTCCCGTTGGAAGCTCTCTGAGCACCAGTACTCAGTGCTCTCACTGCCGAACAGCTGATGTGCGCTCCACTTCCACGAACAACAACATTAACAACAACAATGCACACACACCACCACTCACTGAGAGCCAAATTTGTGGTTGTAGTAGTCGTGTGTGTAAAAATCATACGACTACAACGACAACGACACTCGAATACGAGCTTTCCAATTTCGCAAAACTAACGACACGAATCACTACCCAAAGTGCGGCAAAAGTAGCAACATCGAAAGATACGGATACGGATACGGATAGGGATACGGATCAGGGTGACATAGCCATTACCAGCGATTTACCCAAGGGTCTGCCGTTATCATCGCGACATCACTGGAACCAGCTGCAGAGCAGTTTGCACGCCCTTCACTACCAGCAACAGCAGCACCAGCAACACCGTTCTTACAGTAGTAATACCCGTCAAAATTTGGAAGACGACATGAGTAAATCAGTAAATCAGTTAAATCTGGAGAAATACGCCCAGCGCGATCGCCTGGGACTATGGGGCATTGGTGACAATGAAGTTATCGGCAGCATCTCCGGATTTGGACGACTTCAAGACAAGCGCTACGCAAAGGTGGGTCTCCATATACTTTCCGTGCCCCTTCGGTTTTGTTATTTCAAACGCCTCCCCTCGCCACGAGGCATAAAATTTAGTGGAAAAGTACCAGGCAAAGGTTTTAGGGTGGGTTCCCGTTGGGGTTTTCTGGTTTCGGTACAGGGCAAGAATTTGAGTACGCTCGAAGGCACTTGTTAGAAGCGCTTTTAGAGGAAAATATTTAATGGTGAAACTTCATTGCCTAGTTCTCAATGACTTCTTTATTTAAATAAACTACATTAATTTAAAATACTTAAATCTTGTTAAAGCAAATAAGCTGTTAAAACTGAAACAGAATGTAAACTTGAAATGGTGACCCTATTTTGATAAATTTCTTTAATCTTGAATCATTTATAATTTTAATAATTTAAACAAAAAACGCAAGTAAAGATTTATTAAAAATATTTTTGTCAATAAATGTTTAGGTTTTGAAACATATTTTTATAAAATACGTATAAATGGGAATTTATGAATTCCTTTCTGTACAACAGACCCCTTGTAAAATATACTATATTAAAACATTATTTAATAAATTTGCTTAGTTTCACAATTAGATACTTTCGGATATTTTCGGAAAGCGTGACAATTTTTATAAATTATGCTTATGGCCCTTGGTGTTGCAAAAGTTGCTATAGCTTTTTTTAAGGCAACACGAGCATAAAAAATTCCAATTTATAAATACATAAATAACTATTAAGCGGAAACGTCAGCTGACGAATTCTGAGCAAAAAGAAAAGATACTTTTTGGCCGTGGCTTCATTTTCAGCAAGTAGTGTGGGTGACCTTTAGATGACATAGAGAGTGAAAGACACAAAAAATAGTACACGTGCCACTCTGGAAGACCGAAGCTTAATGTTTTTGTTTTATTTTGTTGGTCATTTTTATTTTTTATTACGGCTGTCAAAGGCCAAAAAATCGATAGCCAACTTTTATAATTGAGCCAATTAAATGACTGTCAAATAGCGGAATAATAGGGTATTCGATGTTTATCACGAGCCATTCGCGTCGAATTTGTATACAAATTTATATCGGGTTGCAATTTCAAGTTCATTGCGTGTGCATTTTTTGTTTGCACTCGATTGTACGCTATATTCCCATAGAGACATGAATGAGCTAATGCACGAATTGTTGCAGCAAATGTTTGAGAGCGATTCAAAGAGAGAAGGCGCATGGGCTTTGAGATTTTTTTTTAAATACACTGTCGAACAAAGTATATGAATATTTAATTTGAGAAAATAAATAGAATTTATTTTATTGGTTTACTAAGATTAGTTGTACTTTTTATTAAAGCATTAAAATAATATTCAAATTGAAAAGTTCCGACTGAAATAAATCCCTAAAATAGAAATATATGTGTACTAAACTAACAATCAATTTGACAAATATTTTTCTCTGTGCAGCACATTAACAAGCAAGCTAAAAGTCGGAAGAATTCCGTAATGCAAACAGAAGAAGAATGAAGGGGCACTCCAAAAAATTCGAAATAACAATAATAGTTTTTGTCGACCTATGTACGTCAGACCACAATCGCACCAAATTTGTTGGAAAATTAATAATTCACCCAGAAATTATCTTGGCGAGTTTTCTTATCAAGAGGCTGCCATTTGTGTACTACAGTTTGTTATTACTTTTTACACTCTCCCAGAAAGTGACTTTTGTTTATCTCAACTTGCTTCTCTGAACAGCTGAGGTTTGTTTCGATTTTCCCAAATTTCCTTATGGAAAGTTTATAAGTTCTTTTCGCATTGAAAACAAGACAAATAGAACCAATCACCGCAAAACCAAAGCCAACCAGAAAAAACTGACCTACATTCAGTCATAAATTTAACTTTGTTTCGAACCGCAAAACTAAAGAACTGAATGACGATAATCCGCAACGCTCGCTATCAGTCATATATATACATTCTGTATTTATCTCTGTGTTTGCCCACACTAAATACAGTTAGCGGATAGAAAATTATTTGCATTTATACGATTTGTTTGTCCCTTGCTTTTTTCGCTCTTTCCCCCTTGGTCTGTTTTGTTATTTATTTCTGGTCTAGGGAAATTAAAAATTTAAACAAATTCAAGTGGTGAATGTGCTGAAAGAGCAGGGAGCTCGAAACTTGTTTAAATAGTGGGATTATTTCATTGTTTACCTTTACGTGACTTATAGGTATTGGTTGTTTATGTTGGGCAAGCAACGATATACAGTACTTGTCAATGGGTGAGAATTGGGTAAATGGATTAAATAAATGATACGAGGTGCCAATAGGTACCACTTATCGATTGAAGTTTACACAGAGAACAAATCTGATCCATTTCGAATGAAAAAAGTATGTGCAAGGTTTAAGCCTAAGCAATGAGAGTTTATTCCACTGTGACTCATTTTGTTTCTATGCACACTAGCTCAAATTACGCATAACAATTTACTTCCGGCAAAACCCGTATGATTATTTGAAGAAACTGCCTTTTTCAGTGGCGCATTCATGCACCCTCATTTCGCTTCGCCTGACCTACAAAAGTCTAAAGTGTAACCTGCTGCGAAACGAAAGAAAAAGCCTTTTCATCAGCTCACCTTTGCTGAGGAAACAATTTGCCTGAGATTGCCTGTCTTGTGTCTGTTTCGGCTTGTGCTGATTAAAGCGACGCTTTCGTCATCCGAATCGTATTCAAAGTTCAGAGACAGACTGCCATTGATAGCGGACTTAGTGATTAGCTATAGGTAAAATGATGATCACGATCATTATGATGATCAAATTGGTCGCGCCAGACATCGCAAAAAAATCAGCTGAGCGCGAGCCAATTCGTGTGTTCGTTTTGTTTCTTTTCTTTCTTTGCTGTTTCATACGAAATGTGTATGCGTAATCTCAGAGTTGCCCATTACGTATACGCATGTCTGGCTTTGGTTAACAACTACGGTGAAATTAATAGCCCCTTAGAGTTGTTATAAAAAAGCTACTTAAATATAATATTTTTAATATACCTTCTAGTTTTTGTTTTTTTTTTTGTTACATTTCTTTTATGTATAGTTAAGATAATTGATTTAATCCAGGAAACCCTTTTCCATCAAGTGTATATCCAATTTTCTATAACCTCTGTCTGCTATTATTTGGAGCACAAGTGTTAAGTTTGTGGGCTTTTTATATTGTTAGGCAAGCTCGAATGTTTGAAGCAGTTTACGGGGGAATGAATACAATTGTGGAATGGTGAAGGGGTAACACTTGTTGCCAGGCGGCTTGCAAACACTTTCGCACGCTTATCGGCGGTCGTGCGTCGGTTTCAATGTCAACGGTGTCGTTCTCTCGATTTTGTCGTATTTCACCAGCCCACCGATGACGTAGCAGCACGATAACGGTTAATTTCGAGGTACTTGGGGCACTAAACTATTGTTTATGGGGATCACTTGAGTGTTTATTGTCCAAACAGCAGTTTCAGCTCAAATTGAATTTAATCCAAACAAATTTGACACACGGACTTCCCTCAAAATGGTTATAAGCCTTTATTGGGTTAGACTTCACATGTTTTTTTTATTTTGGAGGCATCTTTATCGCCTTACGCTGTAGATTTCCGCTCCTCGATATTCTTTCAAGAAAAAAACATATCTTTTAACAGAACGATTTAATAGAAATCTCGTGAAATCAATAAAACATTTCTGACTGCCATACTTTGCAAGTTTCATTTTTATTACCTCTCACCAAGCGGGAGCAAAAAAAAACACTCTTGTCATTTAAATTAAACTAATTTGTGCTCAGCTGGGGAATTTTCGTTTAAAGCTGACTCACTTAAATGGGAGATGAAAAAGTGTGTTGAGTGAGTTACGTATAACAAAAAGGCAAATGTCATAATTATACTAATTAAATAACAAAAAGTTTAATTTAAAACCAGCAAATAATAAAAATCTTGGTTATCTATATTTGAAAAAAATAATATTTAAATAAAGCTTCAGCGTGTGCTTCTTTTTAATATTAAATTTGCTTTATTAATATAACCATATTATAAATAATAGACAAGCTAAGTTCCATTTGACTGACAACACACGAGAGATGACTTAATACGTATAATTTTGAATAATTACTTAATTTGAGAAAAAGCGTAATACAAATTATATATAAATTCAATATAATCTTGGGCTAAGTTAATACACCTTTAGGGCATTCGACATTTTACTAAATAATAACCCAGTGATGTGGAAAGCAAACAAAATATAAAAATCTTTATTGGCAACAAATTGGCAGCTAGTTCATGATGATTCGCAATAATGAAAATTTACATTTATCTAGGTAGTGTATATTTAAGGTTGCCAATCGAAAGTCCCAGTAAGCTTGCAATAAACTCTGACTTTACTTAAAGCCTTTTTGTATGGGCACGATTTGAAAACTGCTGCCCCTTGCTGAATTACTCAAACACAAGTGATTATTCCCTAATGTGCATATTAGCAGGTACATCCGTGATGTAAATACCACATAATCCAAAGTAATGAATGTTTCATTGCCAACTTGCACGTATTTTTTATCTACATATGTATGTGACCTAGTCAAAAGTTTGCGGTATCGCCCCCAACAAAATCTCGGCCTGTGATGTCCATTTCGCAAATAACCCCAGCAATTACGCAGCAAAACTTTCAAAAACTAGTCGTAATTGTGCGTCTGGATTGAGGCCAGTGCTGAGTCACATCGCCTCAAATATTGTGTTTATATTAAACATCCGATTGCAAATCGAATGGCGGTGCTAGAACTTGACTTTGAACTTGAAACCCGGCTTGTGCCTGGGCGAGAGATCTATCTCATCGGATCTGTGAAGGTCGGGTGATCACAGCTTCTGTCTCGATGACCAGTTCCAGTCGGATTTCCTATATTATATAGGGTCGCGTGCCCGTGAATAAAAGGCCACGATAAGCAGAGGCAAACTTTTCCACCACTCCACCTTTGTTTGCTTGTTTTGTTTGAAAGGTTTTATAATCATTCCATGGGGCGATCAGGCCATTCATACTGAGTGCAAACATTTGTTAAATAGTTTTGTAGTTAAGCCTGAGAATGTTTGGGATATAATTATTATAACTATAACATTTTCTCAATAAATATAAATGTTTTTTTAAGTTTCTGTTATTTCTAGACCTTTAACAACTTAAGACCATTAATATTTTCTGATAAAATGTATTGTATTTCAAAAGACCTTATCCCAAGGGATATATATTTATGGCATTTTTAACTGCTTGAGATCTAATTCCATGTATGGACTAATTCTAGGGCCTGGCTTTCACACACGAGGAGCGTCAGCAGTTGGGCATCCATGGCATGCTGCCCTATGTGGTTCGCGAGGTGTCGGAGCAGGTGCAGCACTGCCGATCACTCCTGGACCGGCTGGAGCAGGACCTCGACAAGTACATGTACCTGATCAACCTGTCCGAGCGGAATGAGCGCCTCTTCTACAATGTGCTCAGCTCCGACATCGGCTACATGATGCCCCTGGTGTACACGCCCACCGTGGGACTGGCCTGCCAGCGGTACAGTCTGATCTTCCAGACCGCCAAGGGCATGTTCATCTCCATCAAGGACAAGGGCCACATCTACGATGTGCTGAAGAACTGGCCGGAGACGGATGTCCGGGCGATTGTGGTGACGGACGGCGAGCGCATCCTGGGACTGGGAGATCTGGGCGCCAATGGCATGGGCATACCCGTGGGCAAACTGTCCCTGTACACGGCCTTGGCGGGCATTAAGCCATCGCAGTGCCTGCCCATCACCTTGGACGTGGGCACCAACACCGACTCCATTCTCGAGGATCCCCTGTACATTGGTCTGCGCGAGCACAGAGCCACCGGAGCTCTGTACGATGAGTTCGTCGATGAGTTCATGCACGCCTGCGTCCGCCGCTTTGGCCAGAACTGCCTGATCCAGTTCGAGGACTTTGCCAACGCCAATGCCTTCAGGCTGCTGTCCAAGTACCGCGATTCGTTCTGCACCTTCAACGACGACATCCAGGGAACCGCTTCGGTGGCCGTGGCTGGACTGCTGGCCTCGCTGAAGATCAAGAGGACCCAGCTGCGGGACAATGTCCTGCTGTTCTTGGGCGCCGGCGAGGCGGCCCTTGGCATTGCCAATCTCTGTCTGATGGCCATGAAGGCGGAGGGTCTCTCCGAGGAGGAGGCCAAGACGCGCATCTGGATGGTGGACAGGTAATTACCGCTAGTTCCGAAATTGAGAAGCTAAATTCTAATCAATGTGTTCTTTTAGCCGTGGTGTGATCATCCGCGATCGCCCGAAGGGTGGACTCACCGAGCACAAGCTGCACTTCGCCCAGCTGCACGAGCCCATCGATACCTTGTTGGAGGCGGTGCGCAAGGTGCGTCCCAATGTCCTGATCGGAGCTGCTGCCCAGGGCGGAGCCTTCAACCAGGAGATCCTCGAGCTGATGGCCGACATCAACGAGACGCCGATCATCTTTGCCCTGTCCAATCCGACTAGCAAGGCGGAGTGCACCGCCGAGGAGGCATACAACTACACCAAGGGTCGCTGCATATTTGCCAGTGGATCGCCCTTCCCCCCGGTGACGTACAACAACAAGAAGTTCTATCCCGGCCAGGGCAACAACTCGTACATTTTCCCTGGCGTCGCACTGGGTGTCCTGTGCGCCGGCATGCTGACCATTCCCGAGGCGGTCTTCTTGGTCGCGGCAGAGCGCCTGGCGGAGCTGGTCTCCAAGGATGACCTGAGCCGGGGCAGCCTGTATCCACCGCTCAACTCCATTGTCAGCTGCTCGGTGGCCATCGCCGAGAAGGTCGTGGAGTATGCGTATAAGAATGGATTGGCCACCGTCCGCCCGGAGCCGGCCAACAAGCTGGCCTTCATCAAGGCCCAGATGTACGACCTGGACTATCCCCGCTCGGTGCCCGCCACCTACAAGATGTAGATCCATTCCGCCCACGCCCAGGAACCAAAGGAGTGGCCTTTGGTGGCAGATATTTTCGGCACGGGCGGCGAGCAGTAACCATGTTATTTATTTTATAATGTCGCACATCTGTCGTCTAGCATATAGCAAAATTTGTATCGCGCCTAGCCAACCACTATCCACTATCCACAATCCACTATCCCCCACCAGCCACTAGCCCCTGATCGCAGCCCGATATATTATTATAAAACAGGGAGGAAAATGGAATGTCATTAACCCGCGGCGAACAATTTTGTATGATGTTGACTCTATGTAAATGGGATATTGATCTATAGATATGTAAACAAATTGTATGTAATCTTGAACAACACAAACTACTCTAAGAATCTACAAATAAAAAATTATTAAAACAGTACTTACAAATTTCAAACTAAACATTTCCCCACAAAACAACTGGTTAGATCGGTTGGGCTATTGCTTCTGATCAATAATTCTTCCTTCTGTTTCCTGGAAGTGCATCACCAGAACTGTAAATATTTAAGTTGTTTTTGCAGATTTTGTAAAATTAAACGAAATAACAAATACTGATTCCGGTATCAAGTGCAGAAGCAAAAGCGCTCAATTCAATAAAACCAAAATTTCAAATTCGCACATTTGGATAATTTTGTAGATTATCCATATCAATTAAATTGAAATGTGCGAGATTTAACATAAATGTTAGGAAGTGTTGGCAGCGCTGCGGCAGAGGAAAGCAAAGTAGAAATGGAAATATGTACATTGATGTTTCCCCGCCAAACATCGCGCTAACAGAAAAATGTTAGCCAAACGTCGAACTAACAGATGAATAGAAGGAGAAAGATAATAAAAATCCACCTCATTGTTAGGGATGGATAAACTTCGATAATCCCTGCTAAACATCGATAGGACCGATATTTTGAACAATCGAGGTTGGCATCGATGTTTCTCCACCTCTAGAAGAAGAAAGTAAAGAAGGAGAAAGAGAAGAATGAGAAACAGAACAAAAACAAAAACGGTAAAACTACAAAAGTGAAATATGCAAGAGCTCAAGGTGCGTGGTGTCAATAGATGAGTAATACCTGTTTATTAACTTATAAGGCATTCAAATTGCATTCCAGCAACGTTTTGGGCGACGCCAACTGGCGGATGACCTGAAGCAGAAACAGGTGAGTGCCGTGTCGAAAAAGCGTGGCTATAAATAAGAACTCATTGTCTAACGGATAATGCATAACGCCTAAAAAACCAGGTAATACAGGATCGGCTGCTGCAGAAGATTCTGTACTCCAAGCGCCTGCTTGTGGACCATGTGGAGGCACTGGAGCAATGTGTTCAGGAGCTGCAGGCTTCTTCGCACCCCTGCCGGCAAATCCTCACCACGAGGAATGCCTGTCTGATATTGGGGGGCACTCTGCTGGAGCACCTGATAACCCCCAGGAGCATTCGCTATACGATGGTTCCATCCATCCTCATTACCGGCACCTTTGCTACGCTGTGCGCCGTTAAAAGCGTCTTTGTCTGCCGCAACAAAATGGTGGAGCGCAAGCTGGAGCAACTGGTCAAAACCATCGATGAATTTGGTAACTGCATCCGTCGAAATATGACATACTTTCAGGAGATTATCATCATGAAGCAGGCCGAACTGATAGAGTAACTAAAGTTGACTAGTTGATTGTAGTATATGTCGTTAAACACAATCTTCTATAGATCCCGTCAGATTGAGCGTGCCTGGGATTGCATTACGTCCGCCAAGGAGGTAACCGAGATCCTGTATGATGCCACCCGCAAACTGGAGACGGACTATCCCCTGCCGGCAAAATATGGCGCCTACTATGCGGCCATGGAGGAACTACGAGAGTGCGAGTACTTCAAGAACAATGTCACGGACTACAGTCCCAAACACATAAAGGTACTTACCAAATTGTAGTCTTGCAAAGCTTGCAAAGCATTGCCTGTTCACAATGCATTATGTAATCGTTAATGGCACAACTGATAGCAAGAATCTTAAAAAACCTTTGCAATAATTAATCGAGATACAACTGAATGCGGTAATGGAAAGGGAATTGTAATGTAATAACAAGATATTTTTGTTCTGAAAGATATAAACATTTATACTTATTGCTTTTTAAATAGAATGTTTTGTTAAACAAAAAAAAAAAATAAGTTGATATGTAATTTGTAGTATACCCCACACAACATTTATCAAATTAACTTAATTTTCCATAGGATTTTCACAATATCTTCGCCTATGTGCAGTCACAATACCTGCTCCGGCTGGCCCTCACCATCACCACTCGCCCGTCGCTCTCCCAGCTGAGCGATGATCTCGTGAAGATCGACTGCCTGGTGCGGCAGCTGGTGCAGGAGGAGGAGCAGCACTTCAGCAATCTGGCGTTGGCCATGCAGAACAGGAAGCAGTTGGAACTGGTCGAGCTAAACGCCACCAAAGCGGAGCAGCAGCGGAGTGGACCCATCGCTGTGCTGCAGCACTCCTCGCTGAAACTGAGCGCCTGCATGGTGGCCGTAGCCGGAGAGTGCCAAGCTCTGGACGTGACCCTTCAGCAGCTGACGGCCACGGAGGCGGCAAACAGGAACAACTCCAAGGAGCTGGTGGCAGTGGCCAACAATATGCATGGCATCGAGAATGCTTTGGCCGTTTGTTGTGATGATTTCCAGCGATTGATGCTCGTGTACAACAAGTTTCTGCACAGCCAGCTGGACTTGGAGGGGGAGTCACCCAAACCCAAGCAAGATCTGGATGATGAGTTTCCCGAGAGCATTCTGAGGGTTGAGTTCTCACAGAACGTGGATGCACCGCAGCAGAAGGATGACTTCTATGCCTATATGTATGACGAAAACGAGGAGCATCAGTTTGAAGCAGAGCAGCATGCTCCGTTTCCCTCACCGGAAAAGGAATTGCTTAACTTCGAGAAGCGCATTACCAAGGGCAAGTTTAAGCCTGTCCTCAAGCAGCTCAAGGATCGCATCGATCCCATTCGGCAGGTGATGCTGGAGAAGGAGCGGGAGGTCCTGGCCTCCAAGGGCATAAATGTAGATGAGCTCTTTGGCAAAATTGAAAATATTGAGCAGCAGCAGGAGGACAATCGACTTGTGGATGCAAAGCACTCTCCCAACGATTCCTCCTCCAACTCGGATTCGGATTTGGACTCTGACGATGAGGAGGCCTTCAGGCAGCGCAGCAAACAGCACAAGGAGCGTGACAACTTTGCCGAAATGCGCCAATTTCTAGCCCAGAAGCAGGCCATAAATCTGTTTAAGTTACCGCCACCACCTGTGGCCGCCGCTGAAGAAGAGCTGCTCGAAAGTGAATGCTAGAAGGATTGGCTTCTCTTTTCATTGGTCACGTTGGCCTGTTATCTCCTTTGCTCTGTGTATTATCTGTTTAAGCTTTTATCATTTATCCAACCAACTGGGGAGATAAACTGCTCGCCAAGCGACGCCCCTTCACGCTGAAATCATATTTGCCTTTCGGTTGTTCCCCTGTTTATGTTTCCTAGCCACTTAAGACTTGATAAAGTTGCAAGCAAAAGGATAAAGGTTTTATGTAGACAAAGCCAAAATTTTCGCGTGTGAGACTGGGTTGTGAAAATCCAAAGGAATGGCCCTTAAAATATTATCTTTGTTTTGACACCTATTCAAATATGGATTTACCTTTTCTTAGTTTTTCTTTTTGAAGTCCCTACATGCCTTAAAGGACGTCGATAAAATTTAAATTTAATTTGTTTTTAATAAGTAGATGAATTTGTCATATATTCATATTTTTTATTTTTGTCACATTTCTATATATACTTCCTAGCCATTTTTAAGACTTGATAAAGTAGCGGGCAGAGAAATAAAGGTTTTATGTTGACAAAGACAGAGATTTCACATGTGAGACTGGGTTGTGAAAATCCAAAGGCATGGCCCTTTAAATAATATATTTGTTTTGACATCTATTCAAATATGAATTTGCCTTATTTTAACTTTGTTAAAACTACTACAAAACCACATTTCTTTTATTTTTAGAAACGATATGAAAAATTTGAAAATTGACATGAATCCATCATTTCTAAATTTTACTGTTTATTTCTCACACAAAAGTATTGGAAAATAAAAATAATAAAAAAAAGTTATTTGCCTTAAATCAACTGTCAAAAGGTTTCAAACCTTTCAGAAAATCATCATTCACGTATACTGAAAGTTATTTGTTTTAAAAATGTTTTATTACACACTAGTGTTCGCAACTTAAGTACAATAGAAACATCGATGGCAGCACTAAATACTAGGGGGTTAGTTTTTGGGGTTTCGGGGATTAGGATGGGAGGATCAGCTCCTGCGTGGGATATTAATACAGAGGACACCTACTTATATACAGGATAGCACGCACAGGAAGTCTTGTTCGGTTGCGTTCGCAACACTGTCGTACTGTCGTGGACATCTTTGGCTCGAAACTTGTGCAGCTAGCTCGCGATTTGGAACGCATTAGGATTTGAATACCGCCTTAGGCATTGGCAGCACCCGTGGTGGCTCCACTGTTGCCCCCGGCATGGACACTACTGAACTTACTGGCCACCGAAGCGGGCTGCAGCTGCGAGAACTGCGACAGATTGCTACCCCTTACGCTGGTGTACCGGATGGGTTGTACCCCGTAATCGCTGCCCTTGAGCCGCCGGCGCACACAAGCCACAACGAATCCGATCACCAGGCCGATCACCAGCACCACACTGGCAATGATGGCGGTGAGTATGATGTAGCGACGTCTCAGAAATCGCGGCGGTTCCTCCTCGACCTCACGATATTTCTTCGGTATCACCATCTTGCAGATCCGTTCGGCCGTCAAATTGGAGAGCAGGGATCCGGCCAGAAGGTATGGGGTTTCACAGCGAGCCTCGGTCCCATCGGTTTCCCGTTCGATGTGCGCCAGGCCAGACAGCTCCAGGGTCTTGAAGAGATCACAGCTGCAGTACCAGGGATTTCCGACGATGCTCAAGCGGCGGAGACGTGGCCAGGGCACAGCAGCACTGCTAGAATTGCTGCTGACATTTAGGGCCAATGTGGTCAATGCATTCCTGGACAAATCCAACTGCGACAAGTTCCGACTGGCCAGCAGATCGGCCAACTCCAAGCGCTCCAGTTTGGAATTTCTGGAGCAATCGAGCTGCTGCAAGGCCGGCAATTTGAGGGCTCCCTTGTCCAGACTTCGCAGAGATGGCATGCCACTGATATTAAGACGTTTCAGCGACACCAAACCCTGAAAACTATTCTCTTTCAAGCTGGGAAAGGGATTTTCCGCCAGATTTAGTTGGACCAACGAGTTGGCCAACTGCTGGACACTTGCAGGGACAACAGTGAACTCATTGCCGGAAACGTCCAGAACACGGAGGCTCTTCAGCCTTGGGAAAAGCCCCGCTGGCAGAGACATCAAACCGTTGTGGGAAAGATCCAAGCGATCCAGTGTGACCACTGAGGCCACGGCCGCTGTGGTGGCTTCATCCAGGACAGCCAGCCTGTTGTAGGCCAGATTCAACTTGGTCAAGTGTGGCGTATGCTCAAAGAGACGTCGATCCAGGCGACCTATTCGATTGTGGCTCAAGTCCAGATCTCGCAATCCGATCGGCTCGTAGCGAGTGTTGCGGAAGGGACCTCGGAAGAGATCCGGCACCAGGGCATCGTCGGACAGCTCGTTCCAGCTGAGGTAAAGGGCCTCCACATTGGGCACGTCCATGAACAGCGGAGTCTGCAGCTCCTGGAGACCACAGTGGCGGCAGGAGAGGGTTAGGCTGGCATTGGTGGCCGGCAGCTGTTGGAGTAGTCTTATGCGATTGCCCGAGAAGGAGGCCACAATCTCCGATGAGGCTCCAGCCGCCATCGCCTGGCTACCGAACTCGTCCGGCCATCGGGCCAGGATGTGCTCGAAACTCCTCACCGAGCAGTCCAGGTTGAAGTGCGTCCGGTGGTCACTGTCCTGGCTGCTCAGGCATAGGCACGTCTGGCAGATATTGGTCACTGGCTGGTAAGGAATATCCTCGTGCTGGCCCTGAACTCCCGTGGCCAGGAGCAATGTCGTTCCCGCTAGAAGCTGCAATAGGAAAGGGTTGTCTTATTTTTATTTAACAATAACAATACAAAAGGAAATACCATTGGTAAATTTATTACAATTGTAATTACATTATTTTAATAGTAAAATTTATTTTAAATCGAACCAAATATATTTAAATTAAATCTGAGCTGAAGCACCAATTAAATCATTTTAACAAGTGCCATTAAATAAGCATTGACTTTAAAGTTTTAATTCCGAGAAGGCATTATGGTACACCAAAATATATTTCATCTTAATATAGATGTTTTCTGTTTGCTTAGAAATATGCCGTAAAATATATTAATAAACAAATGTTTTCATTAATATTTTACAGCACAAAATTAATGTCACACATACAAAAGTTATTGAATATTGAAATATATTAATAAACAAATGTTTTCATTAATATTTTACAGCACAAAATTAATGTCACACATACAAAAGTTATTGAATAGACCGGAGTATCTACTACAAATCTTGGCACCTTCTGATGTACATATAAGTATTTACTTTCAAATATATTGTATCAATATTAAATTTTCGATAATAAATATGTATTTGGAGATTGGACAGGCTTTTGAACTTTTGAGTATGAAATCTTCTTTATATTTTTTGAGGGCAAGTAAATAATGAATTATAAAAAGGAAAGATATTCGAGAGTACTGATTAGCCCACTGATATAAGTTTACCTCGAAAACCGATCTGAGTTATTTGCACCTGTGTTTGTTGTCCATTGAAAAAATAGCTTTAGCTTTCATTGTGCTGACCATGGAAAGAGCTATTATATGTCTGCCTCTGATTTTCAGACGATTCTCGTATGTCACGATTCTACCAAATACAAGTGTTCAGACAGACAAAAGTACTTTCAAAGACCAGTAAGTTTGGCGACATATATTTATATTGCTAAAATCAGGAGGCCTTAAAGCTGAGACGTGTTAACTATAACATCTTAATAACAGAGTCGAATGCCTTATCAGAAATTTAATTTGCTAATTACAAAGTACAAATGAATGACAGGGTTATAGAAAATCCATCGTTTGTGGGTCAGTATACAAAACAATTCTTGATGTCGTGATAGGTAACTTTATTACGTCAACAATAACAATATATTTCACTTTAAGGCATTTTGGAATAGATGAATTCAATTAAGATAATGATGAGAATATTAATCCGGTTAATTTATAGATGCATTTAATGTTGGTTGGCCTCCGTAATCTTTAAGAATTGATCCTCGTCGAGGACACTAATCATCATTAAATCAAGTATTATGTCCTCGGCTTTGGCAATCAAACAAAAGGAATAAGCGATTTCGGCCATTTTTCTCCACCGTTCCCCACTCTTCTTCATATTCTTTAAAGTTTTGAGAAATATTGTGATTGGTATCCGTGCTATTGTTAGTTGCAAGCGTCTCGAAAAGGGAAAACCAATTTTTGAGAAAACATTTCCAACTTGTTTCTATGAAGGAAAACTCAAAACTGAAGGCTAGCACATATTGAAAACTCAAACCTAGAAGGTTGATACTTGCAAAACAATCGTGACTCATTTGATTGATTCATATAATTTTTGATTACCTATGGCATCCTGTGTTCTTCTGGGCTAAATTGGGGAAATGCGTGAGAGAGGACACAATGTGCTTCATAAAAAGGTCTCCCCAACGTTTAACACTTTCAGAGAACAGCTCCATTGGAAGTACTCTCTGATCCCACTATCTGGGCCAAAAGTATGTGCGATAAGATAACGGTATTGTTTTGGAAAGGCTGAAATATTTACTCACCAAAAGCAGATATTTGTGCTTCATTATGGTATAGGTTTCGGTGTTCACTTTTCACTTTGGCCTTCAAAAAGGCCTAATAACTTTATTTGTAGAATTTGTTTTTCTTTTAAGTTCACTTTTCGTATTTAATTTTTGTGTTTTTCCTTGTAATTGTTTTTATAATTTTATATCGCAGCACTGAGCGACCAGACTGCTTTCCCTCGGAGTATAGAACTATATAATGATTCAAGCCGCCGTGGACTGTTGGCATTATTTGTTTTGATTAGATATCGGCGGAGAGAGAATAATAGTCTCTCTTCGATTCTCAGTGCCTCTCGGCGCTCTCTTCTTTGGGGTCTTGTCTCTCCGGAGGGGTTTATCTGATCTGAACGATCAATTAAGTAAAAGTGAATTCTATTTGAGTCATCTACTGTCTTTGGACTCTCCCAACCCCTTTCTTCCTCTCTTTCTTTCCGTCTACCTATTTGCAAGGTCGTTTACGTTGCTTTTCTTGCTTTCATCGTCAGCCAATTTTTTGGAATGGCTAATGGGTCTGGCTAAAGTGCAATTGCTATCCAAACATTTAACAAAATATACAGTCCAACACGATTCTATTTAACTATGTATATCATATTATTATATTGTATCTTTAAATAATTATAGATAAACCTTTGTGAAAATTAATTCTTGCACTTGTTATTAATTTCTCAAAAAAATTACCACTATACCAAAATTTCAAAACACCATTCTGAACACCAAAACATATTTTCCTTAACCAGAATTTAGGTAGCATTTCGAGCTACAGACGTTGGACTGTATTTTTTAGCTTGGCGTAGATTATCCTGAGATAAGATAACACTTTGTCTCTCGATGTGGCAACAAATGGCGTTGGAGACCGAAAAACCGAGCATTCTACCCGTTGACTCAACTGTGGGGCTGGTTCCCAATCCGACTTTTGATTCACTGGCCGACGGGGACAATTAGATGCGATCGCAATTACAAGTGTCACTTGGTTCCATTGAACTTGCTGACGCCTGGAGTCGAGAATCGAGAGCAAATAATGGGGAATCGAGAACTGAGAATTGAGCTGTTCGCAGCTGCCGTCGATGAGAAAGGCAAACAAGAAATGTTTGTGACTCTGGAATTGGTTGCATAAACAAAACACAAAACACTGTGTCCGATCGGACAGAAGGACGGACGAGGCAAACCGACCAGAGCCAGACAAATGTTGCCCAGACACTTGTGACTCACGACCGTATTGGAGGCAAGTACAGTAGGGACACGGCTTATCGGTCAGAAAAAAAAAATAAGATCTAATGTAACCTTTTTAGGTTTATTAGATACATTTTAGAACGTTTTATGTTTGAATTGATGAACAATGCATTTTCAGTCAAGTAAAGTATTTTTTTAGTATGTAAAGAAATTAAGAAACATTTTATTTAATTGGGTTAAATTTAACTAGGTTAAATTAAATAAAATGTTTCCTATTTCCTTTACATCCTAAAAAAAAAATACTTAAACTAGACTGAAGATGCATTGTTAAACTTTTTTTAAAATTTCAAAAAAAAATGTTCTTAATGGTAAACTAATCTGTGAAATTTGACAGAAAAAAAACCAAAGCTTAAACTCCAAAAGTATACAGCATTCAAACAACTAAGAAAATCCCTAATTTTTAAGTACGAGTTGACTTTATGCCGCATTGGTTACTATAATCCCGATAACACATTATAACAGAACTCCTTATCCGGTATCTACTGTAGCCGTTCTCTCAAGAGATTTGATCTCTGTCGCCTCTCCTCCAATTGGTTTTCTTTCAACAAGCCGCAGGGGGAGGTGGACTGGGAGGGAGTGCATCCGTGGCAGGGTTCCCTGTGCTTACTAGTCGTTAGTCTGTGTTTAATTTAATGATTAAGCCTTTTTGCATATTCCGTGAACTGCACGCGACCCAACCGCACTCACAATGGAAATAAACGCACGACGAGTGCAAATGAAACCCGTTTGTGTGGCTGCGGTTACTGGCGATGTTGCTGGTGTTGCACTTTTGCAGCTGCTTGGGCGAGAATGATGCTCATCCTCGTCCTCGTCTCAGAAAAGACGCGCGAAGGCTGAAACCGAAAGCGGAAACCCTTGCGAAGAACGATCTCTACCTGCCCGCCGCTCGAATCGAACTGAAAACCGAACAAAAACTGAAACCAGAAATTTGCTGCTGGATCGAGATTCCCGTTCCCGTTCCCACAAAATGGACACAGTGCTCCCCCCCAAAAAAGAAAACCGGTCGGGGGCTCACTGGCCGAATTTGAAAGCGAGACTGTGGCACATTGTTTATGCCACACAGTGCTTTTTGATGGGGGCAATATTAATGGCTGGCAGCTGCATTCTGCTGCTTCTCCAAATGTCAACCGGAAATGGGAGCCAACTTAAGTCCACAAGTCGTGCCGCAAACATTTCCTTGGCGGCAATTACAAACGAGCGTCGATAGTAAGAAACAAACATTTATACGAAACAAGGTAACCGAAAAAGTGAGCCTATCTAGAATGCATATAGTAGTCGATGGCCGTGGAGAAGGCGGCGAATCCCAGTCCGCCGATGACGCCCGCCTTGATGCCAGCCCGCAGCCCAATCAGTCCGCCGGTGATGCCTCCGGCGTAGGTGCCATTCTTCCAGTCCGTCACTCCGCGATGCTGCAGTATCAGAGAAGGATAAACATAATTTATAAGCTTATTCTCAAATGTCTGTCAACAGGTGGACTCACACTCTCGATGGTGCACTCTACGGCGGAGAATACACATCCGATCAGCGCGAAATTCTTCGCATACGAGTGGGTGGTGGCCCGCATTTCACGGAATACCTCTCGGGCCGTCTGCTTTTTCTCATTCGCAAAGGGATCGGCCATGCTGGGATTCACGGAGGCGCTGAACAAGCCCAAGGCTGCTCCCAAGCCGTAGCCTGCAATGAGAATTGGATTTATTGTAAGTTTAGAAATTTACATGATTTTTAAATATTTGTATTTAGACAATGCACCAAGAAACTTGGCTCAGTAATTATACATATTTGGTAGGAGTATAATTATGCGTATCCTTTGATGATGATGATAGTAATTAGTTTTTAAATGTTAAATTGGAATTTTTAAAATGATTCTTGAGAACCTTAAAACTACCCATCAACATTTTGTTATAGAACCAGTCAATGTTTAATTTGTAACAATAACAAGCTCAAAGAAAAAAAACAAATATTTTACAAGTAAACGAGAACTCTTAAATATGCTTTAAGATTTGTTTTTAAGTTAATAGTGAGCTTTACGAAAAACAAGAGTAAAAATAAAAGCAACCTATTGTTTTGAAAGCTTCTTTTGAGGAGGTATAATCTTAAACTAAATTCAGGTATTGTTATACCCTGATTACGAAATTTAGGATGAATTGGAACCCACCCATCACACAGGCCATGGCGCACTTGAAGCCGCAGCTCTCCACCGCCGTCTCGATGTACTTCTCCTCGTTGGTCTTGATCTTTACCGGGCCGTTGCTCTTGGGGATTACGATGTTCTCGCGGTAACGCTGCATGTTGCCCACGTACTGCATGGCCATCTTGTCCGCATCGCCGAACATCCTGGGCGCCGGAGCCGCCGACTCATTGTTCCCGACGTTGGACATCATGGACATCTCTGCCAAGGCGATTCTAGCGGGATTTCGATTCAGGAAAGTGGATTTAGATACGAATCAAGCGTGTGTTGTGTAAAAAAAAACCAAATTATTATCACACAGCCGAACAGCTGTTTGGCAGGGCTGCATCATCGCAGCTTCAGTTCGATAACGATAGGCCGAAAAATACCAGAAATGATTATTTATTATCGAAGAAATCTGTTATTGGCGGGCAAGTCTTGATCAATTAAACTAATTTTCATTTTGTCTTACTCAAAAAAAAAAAAAAAACAGTACCAAGGATCAATCCTCAACAATTATATAAGATGCACACAAATTTATTTTTGTCTTATAGTGAAAATAGAAAATTACAAATGGAGCGCAATTAAGAAAGATGGCGTATCGAAATACTGGACTGGCGCTTCTTGTGCTCCACATTGTAAAGGGTTTTGGTCAGCTCGGAACAGGTCTTCTTCATGGCCTGGATGTGGCTGCGCCGAGCCTTGATGTCGGCCACGCACTGGTCGTAGTCGTACATCAGGGCCACCTTGAAGAGCAGTCCGCCCTTGACCTCCAGCTTGGCGCGCTTGGTCTTCAGCTTGGCGTGCTCCAGTTGGAGCCGGGTCAGCTCCTGGCGCAGCTGGTTCCGCCGCTCGAACCGAACGTCGTACTCGCTGCTGGCCTTCTTTAGCATATAGGCGATCATGTCCCGCTTCTCCCGGACGCACGTTTCCTCGATCATCGACTTCTTGTAGTTTGACTGCATCACCGAAACATCCTTGCACTTTTCTGCAGAGTGTTTTGATATTAATATTGTGCATTTTAATTGAAGCAAGGTATACATAGCCAAAAATTTTTTTTTGTGAATTTAATGTTTTCTTTGCAATGTTTATATGTACCTTCAAATAATTGTAAAAGTAAATATTTTATATTTTATATTTGTTGGTAAATTTAAAATTTACTTCTATATTTTGGTTTGTGCATTTGTGGTCAAATGTTATTCAATTTTTCTTTTTATATATGTATGTAATGTGTTTAATATATATTTTATCATACAACTCACCCTCTAATTGTTTGCCCAATTGAATAATGGATTCGTTGGCGCACAGCATTTGAGAAATTGTTAAGGTCTCGGTGACCTTCTCAAAATTCGTTACTTTCTGTGGGAGATAGATAAACATTATGTTATGGTTTAACCATTTAAACTCTTGGCTGAATATGTTAGGAAAATTATTATGAGCGCAAGATCATCTCTTAACTATAATTTAAACGTGCTATTTTTTTAAAAATTTCAAAAATTGTTATCCAAAAGGAATATAATCAAAGAATCTTTATAAATATTATTATATTATTAACCAAGATTATTGGTGTATTGATTTAAAAAACAGATCACCCTTAAAGAAGATAAAATCGGTTTGTTGCTGTACCTATCACATCATCGTAGATGCCAAGATCATTTTTACACACCCACCTCATCGACAAATGCCAGGTTGTGCAGGTTCAGGTTGAGTTCGTAGCGCTTCTCGCTGACCTGGTTGCGCAGATCCTGCATGCGCCTGAGATCGTTGTCCAGGGCGCGCTTCAGCCTTTCCATGTCCCGCCGGATGAGGGTCTTGCGCATGAATCCCTCCAGGCGCTGCTCCTCGTTGAAGGCGAGCCTGGCCAGCGAGTTGAGCTCCAACATCGCGAGTGACACGGTGTGGCCATGCTTGATCTTGACCATCTTCACCCGCTCCACCAGGCTGTCGACCTGGTTGAGGGTGTGGATATAACGCGAGAACTCCTGAAAGGCATCCTCTGGCGGAAGCACCTGGAAATTGTTGTACTTGCGAATGCGTCGAAAGTATTCACAGACGGCATTGTTTATCAAGGAGTTCAGGTGCCTCTCGCAATTGTATTCGTCCACCAGGCGTTGCAGATGCACCAGCATCTTGCCCTTGTCCAGTTTCTGCTCCTTGTTCCTGTCGTTGTTCTCCACATTGGCCACCACGGTGGCGATTAGATTCTCCAGGAAATCGGCAGTGAGGCGATACCAGAAGGGATCCTCGACCGGGACTGTCACTTCCGGCCGCGCATCGGTAACCGCTGCCACGGCCACGGCGAACATGGCCATGGTGTCCACTTCGTCGCCGATGACCACCTGCTTGGCCCCCAGACCCTGTTCCTCCGGCAGATCGTCCAACATTACCGAGCCGCCACTTTCCTCATCGGACTCGGCCAACCCTACAGCAGCAGAGCTGCCATCCCTACTGGAACTCGAAGATTTCGACTCACCTTCTTCCGCATTTTCCGTGCCCTCACCAAAGTGACCGGCGTCCATTGAGGTATACGACTTTTTCTGGACATCGGCCAGAGGTTCGGGCTCGGGCTCCGATTGCGGCTCCGGATCGAGCGATATGTCCGAGAGGCTGGGCAGGCTTTCGAACTCGCGAAGAAACTGCGTCTTCAAGGACATCCCCAGTCTGGGCCGGGGCGTTTCCACGCTGGCGATCGACTCCACGTCCTCGTCAAACTGCTCCATCTCCTCATCCGGAGTTGGAACCTTTTCGTTGAGGATGTGCTTTATGTCTTCGAAGTCATCGGCGGACTCTTCGCCACCGGACTCTAACGATTGGTTCATCTGGACGGAATCTCTTTGGTTGTCCTCCTTTGGCTCGTCATCCTGTTCCTCGTCCAGCTTAGCAGGAGCTGCCGGAGTCGCCGGAGTGGTGGGCAGAGTAGCTGCCTTGTCCTTTTCGAGCATTTTCTTCACCTTTAAGAGCTTCTCGCGCTTTCGATCATCGGCGAGACCCTGGGGCTTGGCCAGAGGTTGGTCCCCTTCCTTTGGGATTTCACCATCGACGCCCGGCTCCACTGTCGCCCCTTCATCGCCTTCAGAAACCTCTCCCGTAGCCGCTGCTTGGTCGCCCTCCTCCTGGCCTTCTGCTGCCTCCTCAGCAACCGTGGCCACCATTTGGGATAAGTCCTCTCCAGCTGATGCCTCCTCGACAGCAACTTCTGGAGGTACCTCTTCGGGGGGATTCTCAGTCATCTCTGTATGCTTAAGTTCGTTGAAAATATGTTTTAAAAAATATATTTATATAATTGCTTCTGGGTTTTTCTTTGTGAAGTCTGCTTTGTCTGACTAAAACTATTGTTTGCTGCCTGATACGAAGGTCATGGACTGCCTGGGTTCGTCTTATATAATACATTTTATTGCTATCACAAGTTAATCATACACATATACCGTCGGAGAAAACAAACGAAAATTGCAGCGATCTGTTATGGAATTGAATGCAAGCTCTATCTTTGGCCAATTGGGGACGGCAAGTCGCTAGTTGAAGGCGTAGAGCAGCAGCAAGATCACACAGAAGCCGATCACCGCTCCCAGAATCAGGGAATCGCGTCGCTTTTTTATATTGATGCGCTGAATGAGACTGCAAAAATACAGAAAATTATAATTCATTGTTAATAATGGGTAATACACATATTTGATATTTAATTTGTCAATTTAAATTAAAAGTTGTAATTTCTTTACACATAAATAAGTACGAGAGGCGTTATTAAAGATAAAGATAATAATAAATTTTAAAAATACATGTTTATGGCATTTGGGAAAACTCTGCACGAATTAAGTATTGATAACATAAGCTCTAAGCTAATTTACTTATAGAAAAATCAACTTCTACTGAAAGACTGACTCGATTTTTAGGATAAAAAATACATCTTTGAAATCGTATGAATGTTTTTTAGACAATCTAGCAAATAACAATCCCTTGATGCTCACCTGGAAATCAGTGGGAAACGATTGGAGATGTCGTTAAAACGGGTCTGCAGCCGCTTGAAGGCCTGTCGCTGGGCGTGCAGATGGTCACGCGTCTCGATGGCGATGTTGATCTGGTCGTTCACCAGGTGACTGGCGCTGCTCAGGTGGCCGCTCTCCTTCAGGTACATTTCCCGCCGACTCAGGCCCGAGATGGAGGGACTGCCGGAGGTGGTGGCCAACCCAGAGCCACGGAGCAGCTCCTCGCGCTCGATGCGCATCGTGTGGTTGGCGCAGATCTTGTTGAACTCCTGCCGATAGCCCTGCAGGATTTCCCGATGCCTCTGCAGCGTGTGCATGGCGGCAGCTCCCGAGGCGGGTAAGTCCGACATGGACTCGTTTAGCGACGATAACTGGAATTAAAATACGTTATCAAAGAATGCACAAGTTTAAGTAGGGAAGGATGCTTTCTAAAACTAATAGACATAATTATTTATTAACCTATTTATTTGTGTTGTTTTCAATAGATTTTGATGATTCATTAATTACTGTGGTATTGTAAATGTTGGTTGCGGTAAATATTATCTGATTAATTATGTAATTTTTTTCAGTTCACCAAGAAATTATTGATATATATGTATCCTGATTTATATATTTTTTAAGTTTTAACTATTAATCGTAAAAACGAACTTAATACGGGAATTAAGAATCAGATTTGTGTATGAGATAATTTATAATAACAAAGTTATAGTTAGTTTCTTTTTCCTCTACTCAAGATGATCAAATAGTTAAACATTATAAAATATGTTTTGGATATTCAAAGTTTCAAAAGATTGCTAAAAGCGAAACTTAATACGTGCTTGTATTAAATATGTATAAATTTAACGAAGATAAGATTTTGTTTACACCCCCACGACCAATAGCATGTCCAACCTTCTCTAGCATCTGCTCGATCTCCTCCGACAGCGAATCGAAGACGTGCTCGCCCAGGAGCGGTGATGTGTCCACGCCCCCTAGGGCTCCACTGCCGCCGCCTCCGCTGCCTGCTCCGATTTTGCTGAATGCAACCAGCTTGAGGTCGATCTCGTTCTCCAAACTCCTCGCCTGCTTCCGCAGCACTGTGTGGTGGATCAGGAGGAGGAATAAGATAAGGGTAACATGACCAGCTGCACTTATAGCTCACCATCGTAGCTGGATCCTCCCATTTGTCCAAAATATTTTTCCTTTATTTGTTCGACTTTCGTGTGGCAATCAGTGTGACCAGATCAGGCGGGGGCGGCCTGGAGGAAGATGGCAATTTCTCTCAGAAACCCGCTAGATTTAGCTATTTTTTGGAAAATAATTTAGATTTTTAAATTTGATTTTTTAAGGAATACGAAAATGTTAATGCTTAATTCGAGCTTGTAACTTGATTTTTTTAATCTATCTTGTATTCTAAGCCGACACTTTACCTTGAGTTCAGTTCTCACTGCGTAAGTTTGCAAGACTTGTACTTTTGTTTTATTCCGCCTTTTTTATTATGTCGAAGAATTTTATATCTGAATTTTATTGTTTTCGTCTTGTAAACATTACTTATACGTATGGCAGCTACCGAATGGTTTGCCTAAAACAGCAAGAGCACTCAATGATGGATGCAAATTATTCATTTTTTAAAATTGTGTTTGCTTATACTTTTACAATATATGCTGTTGCAGCCCCTTTGTGAACAGGTCTTCACTGATAAACAACTCTGGTCACACTGTCACGCACTGCGTTTGTTGCCGGCGATTTGATTTGTAAAGTTTGTTTTGTTATTTATTACGCTCACTAAAGCATCATGACGCAGGCAACAGGTGACGCCCGTGTACCCGATGAGGAAAGCGATCTGCTGCAGATAAAGCCGCTGTAAGAAAGACTGGATTTCAGTTGGATAAACATTCAAAAAGTAATCCGGAAAATGTGCTTCATATTTCAGAGGTGCTGGCCAGGAAGTGGGGCGCTCCTGCATCATGCTGGAGTTCAAGGGCAAGAAGATCATGCTGGACTGCGGAATCCATCCCGGATTGTCCGGCATGGATGCCCTGCCATATGTGGATCTGATAGAAGCGGATGAAATCGATCTGCTGTTCATTTCACAGTGGGTATTAACAGGATTTCGATGGATATCGCAGTTTTAATGGGCAATCCTTCTGCTTTGCAGTTTCCATTTGGATCACTGTGGCGCCTTGCCCTGGTTCCTGATGAAGACCAGCTTCAAGGGCCGCTGCTTCATGACCCACGCCACCAAAGCCATCTACCGATGGATGCTGTCCGATTACATCAAGATCAGCAATATATCCACCGAGCAAATGCTCTACACCGAAGCCGATCTGGAGGCCTCAATGGAGAAGATCGAGACCATCAATTTCCACGAGGAGCGCGACGTGATGGGCGTGCGCTTTTGCGCCTATAATGCCGGTCATGTCCTGGGAGCTGCCATGTTCATGATCGAGATAGCTGGCATCAAAATCTTGTACACAGGGGATTTCTCGCGCCAGGAGGATCGACACTTGATGGCCGCCGAGGTGCCGCCCATGAAGCCGGATGTCCTGATCACGGAGTCCACCTATGGCACTCACATCCACGAAAAACGCGAGGATCGCGAGAACCGTTTTACCTCGCTGGTGCAGAAAATCGTTCAGCAGGGCGGCCGATGTCTGATCCCAGTGTTTGCCTTGGGTCGCGCCCAGGAACTGCTGCTTATTCTGGATGAATTCTGGTCGCAGAACCCCGATCTGCACGAGATTCCCATCTACTATGCCTCCTCGCTGGCCAAAAAGTGCATGGCCGTCTACCAGACGTACATCAATGCCATGAACGATCGCATTCGACGGCAGATAGCCGTGAACAATCCCTTTGTTTTCCGGCACATTTCCAACCTGAAGGGTATCGATCACTTCGAGGACATAGGACCCTGTGTGATCATGGCCTCGCCCGGTATGATGCAGTCGGGATTATCGCGAGAGCTCTTCGAGAGCTGGTGCACGGATCCCAAGAACGGCGTGATCATTGCCGGTTACTGCGTGGAGGGAACTCTGGCCAAGACCATACTCTCCGAGCCGGAGGAGATCACCACGTTGTCGGGCCAGAAGCTGCCGCTCAACATGTCCGTGGATTACATATCGTTTTCGGCTCACACGGACTACCAGCAGACCAGCGAGTTCATCCGCTTGCTGAAGCCCACGCATGTGGTGCTCGTTCATGGCGAGCAGAATGAGATGTCGCGTCTCAAGCTGGCCCTGCAGCGGGAATACGAAGCGGACGCCAGCACAGACATCAAGTTTTATAACCCGCGTAACACACACGCCGTGGATTTGTATTTCCGTGGCGAGAAGACCGCCAAGGTGATGGGAAGCCTGGCTGCCAAGAACTCGGAGGTGGGAAGCAAACTCTCCGGCGTTCTGGTCAAACGCGACTTCAAGTACCACCTCCTAGCTCCCTCCGATCTGGGCAGTAAGTAATTTGTTGCACATTGTCTCTGCAACAGTTTTGATTGCAATTGAAACTCTAATTCGCAGAATACACGGACATGAGCATGTCAGTGGTCACCCAGCGGCAATCTATCCCCTGGGGCAGCTCGCTAACCACTCTGGAACTCCTTCTCGACCGCATTGGAGCCGGATGCGTGGAGGTGGTGGAGGCAGAGCGCAAGCTTCGGGTCTTTGGCTGCATCGAGCTGACTGTGGAACAAAAGATCATCGTGATGGAGTGGCAGGCGACGCACGTGAACGATGTGTACGCGGATGCCGTGCTCGCCTGCATCATGCAATCGGAGTTGGGTGGAACGAATCTTAAGGGCGCCGCTAAGCAAACCAAGTCGGAGGACTCGCGCTTCCGGGAGTGCCTCATCGAGACCCTGCAGGACACCTTCGGCGATAATTGCGTGCCGAAGATGTTCAAGGGCGATCTGCTGCCAGTGACGGTCAGCGGCAAACGGGCGGAAATCAACTTGGAAACATTGGTGAGTGTTGGGCACTCGTATCTTAAAATAATATGTAAAAATCGAACTTATTTCCGGGTCAAATATAACTTTCACAAGGAAGTTTGATTTACATAAGAGAAATATGATTAATTTATTTATTAATAATCTAATTATCCATTATTTTCAGTCCGTCCACTGCGCCGAGGACGATGTTCTGCGGCAGATGCTCAACACGACGGTGCAGAAGCTGCACCAGACTCTAGTCTCCGCCCACTGAACACCACAGACATTCCGCCAAATAAATCTCCGTGTGTGAGAATGTTCTTTTTATTGTTTGATTCAAATTGGAAATAATATAGTAATCATGGTCGAAGTGGCCATTTGCCGATAATGTAAGCTGGAGTGAAACTACCGCTGAGTGCTCTTGGCGATTTGCTCCTTGAGCATGAGGATGCTGGCCCGTTGCTCGGAGGGCAGCTGGGCGATCTGCTCGTCGGACAGCTGCAGCACCTGCATGATGAGGGCGGCCTTCTCCTGGTCGGAGGCATCGGAGGGCAGGACTCCGTGGGCGCCCAGTCTGCTCTGCAACTGCTGAGCGGCCGCCTGTTGCTGCTGCGTTGGAGGCGGCGCCTGGGGAATGCCCTGCGGCGGTGCCTGCTGCTGGGGACCAGGTCCAGCCCTTAGCCGAGGATCCATGGGCCGCTGGCGCGGATCGCTGGGATAGGGAGCGGGAGGCGGCTGCGGTGGACCTTGTTGCTGCTGGGGGGGCATCTGGGCTCGTGCCCGGGGATCCATCAGCGGCGGAGGCACCGGATTGGGCAGACCGCCCCGCAGATCCTGATCCATTCCGCGGGCCATCATCCTGGGGTCCAGCGGCATGGGACCACCGGTCACCATGCGCAAATCTATATCGTTGGGGTGCACATTTGATGGAAAACCGGGTCCGGGAACGGGCATCGGAGGCTGGGGAGCCTGCTGCTGCTGCTGGGGAATCTGCACCTGCTGCTGCTGCTGCGGAATCTGCTGCTGCTGCTGGCCCATCATGGAGATGTTGCCCGGTCCCTGGTGCGGATTGCCACCCAGGACGGGCGGCATTTGGTTGGCCTTGAAGAGCATGCCGAGCGCCTGCTGCGGATCCACGATCCGCATGACCACCATGGCCTGGAGCAGGGCGTAGGCCAGCTGGGGATTGAGCATGAGCATCTGGCGCGCCTCGGAAGGATTGCTCACGATGCAGAGCTTCATCTGCTTCATCAGCTCGTACATCTGCTCCGGCGGCAAAGAGGCCACCGTCTTGGTGATCAGCTCGGGGGCATCCTCGGGCTCGCAGGGCTCTCCGTAGGGGTTCTCCACCTGGGGACCCTGTAGCAGCTGCTGCATCTCCATGCGCGACTTCTCCGTACAGGCGTTGTCCACGCGGAGTGTTCTGCCGCCGATTTCGTAGCCATTCAGGTTCCGCATGGCGCTCAAAGCCGTCTCCTGGTCCTTGTACTCGCAAAAACCGAATCCCTTGGGTTTGCCACTTTCCCGATCGAAGACGAGTCTGGGAGGAACGAGGTGTAGGGTTAGTTAAAAGATACATCTAAGTTTATCCGCGAAAAACTCACTTGAGCGACAGCACCGGTCCCACTTCGCTGAAAATCTCCTTCAGTTTCTCCTCGGTGGCCTCGTAGGGTATGTTCCCCACAAAAACCGACCGCATGGACTTGTCCATAATGCTCTGCTCCTGTGCCTTATCTGCCATATTTGCTGTTCACTATTATTTAATGCACAAATCCTTGTGAGTCTTAGCAAACGTTGACAAATCCGTCGAAAACTCAAATTTCCCTGCGTTGCGGCTTGCTGCTTCTTCTTTTTCCCACCGAAAATTTCCCTCTTCCAGGGCTGCCAATAAAATACCACTGCTCCCAGTGCTGGCAAGTTCCGGCAGCCCGCATACGTTTTGCAGCACTCCAACGCCTGGTGTTGTAATTTTTCTTGTCGCAAGGTGAAAACGATTTAAACGGTTTTTGCTAGTGAAAAGTGCAGCAAAATGATCGATTTGTACACCAAAGTGTAGACGAAAGTGGCGTTTACTCGAATTCGCCGCGGCAGTAGTGAAAAAACGGCCCAAAGTGCATGAAAAACGTGCCTGAAAATTTTACTTTGTGTGTAGCCATACGCACTCCAACACACACTCGCTCACACACACACACAGACAGAGGGAGATAAACGCAGCGATGGCCTCGCAGTCGCACTCGCACATATAAAAAGCTCGCTTGTATATTGTATATTAAAAGAAGGAGCGCACAAAGCAGAAGACGAGAGGAAAGATTTCTGTGTCATTGAACGAAAGAAAGAGAAAGAGTAGGAGAGGAAGGAGCCGCAAAATCCTACTCCTCTTCCAGCGGCCGCAGGTGCACACTCTTTCAAGGATATCCCTCTCTCAGTCGCTCTCTTTGTGCCTCGATCGATACTGGTAATTAGCTGGCGTCCTCTCTTTGGAAGTGTCATTCCATTCCATTTCATGGACGAAAACTTAATCGATGGCGAACAAAAGCGGAAATATGTGCATTTTTAAATTGTGTGTGTCTGTAATTATGTGAATAATAAGCAGGAAAAGGAAAATAGTACAATAAGTGGCAAGATCAGCGACATTAACGCGCACACACACACGCATAGGCACACTGGAAAAAATACTCCCTGCAAAATGGAACATTTGGAACATAATGCATCCGCACGCACTTTGTGCTCTTCTTTTTTCGGCTGTCTGTGTGCATGTGGGTGTTGTGTGTGCGTGGTGTGTGTAACCTTTGCAAAGGAAAAATCAATAGCAACAGACGTAGACATTTGTTTGCCTCTGTTTATGTGCAGCCCTCACATTGTCCTTCGTCCTTAACACAAAGAGCAACCCTTGCAGAGCCCAAGTTCAGATGGTCAAATCCAAATCCCAAAAAAAAAAGCCAGCAAATATTGTGCTGCAGACTATAAATAAAAGCAAAAGTTCTCGCTAAAGGCTGGAAAAAACAGAGAAACAGGGGAACGACCAACAACTCATCAGCGGGCTGGGTCGTTGCCTCTTTTTTCCGATTCTTCCTGCGACTCTGGTGAAAAAAGCTGCTCAAGAAGTTGTCTCACTCATCTGTGGCCGGCATTCCAATCCGCCACTTCCACTGCTCCCACCTGGAAGTTGATTTCCTCTTCTCGCTTCCTTATGTGTCTTCCAAGCAGGTCCTTTTAACATTAAATCATTAGTAATAGTAATGAGGGATTAAAGTTTATAATTTAATCTACATTTTAAAGGTAAAGTTTTATAAATTTGTTTTATAACTACTTCCAATTACGCAGAATTGATTTTTTTTTATAATCAGTTAATAATTGACTAAAACTGCCTTTAGCTCTTTAAAAATGTTGCTTTCCTTTTCCTAAAACTACTTAAAATGTGTTTAATTGTTTCCAAAGAATCAAATTAAAAAACAAAATTGAGAAGCCTTTGCCGATTAATTGTTTGCTTTAAAAAACACTTGTTTACTTCATAGTAATCAATTTTACTTTTTAACAGAGAGTTAAATCAATTTGAAAAAACCTATGATTGTAAAACGTATTTATAGTGCTAAGTGGTGTGTGCTCTTTGAATGCTTTTAGGTCGACTTTGCTTTGTATCGATCCTCCCCGAGTAACGATTGTAGAGTTCTTTTCTAAAACTTCACTCCCCCATGAAGCTTGATTTGTTCGGAAAAAGCCACGTTTCTAAAGATTACGCTGAACGCATTTCGCGGGCAACCGATCCGCTGGATCGCCGGACGGCGAATTCTTCGCATATCTGGTATCGTCTTACCCAAGGCGCTGATATCGGAGCGCGGATTGAGCCCCACGGCCTGGCACCAAGACTTCTGGCACCAACATTCTGACATTCCTTCTGTTCTTCATTGCAGCTCCACAGCGTCGAATCAGGGGATTGAGCAAGATGGACGCCAAGCTAAGGGGACGCCAAGTAGTTTTATGACTCTGAGTGGCAGCCAAGCCAGCCATCCGTCGCACTAGAAAGCTAGAAACCGGGCTCCCAGAGAAAGGAGCAGGAGCAGCCAGTGAGCAGGAGTAGGAGCAGGAGTAGCCAGGAACCGGGAGCCAGGAGCCACAGATAGAGCAATCTAAAGCCGCCAGCATGGTCGACAACAGCGTTCAGTGCCCCGTGTGCACTTTGTATCTGCATGCGGGTATGAATCTCTCCGATCACTTGGAGACCCATCCCAAGGAGCAGGTGATCAAGGCGCTGGTGCAGATGACGATCGTCGGGAGCGGTGGCAACAGCATGGGCAGTGTTCTGGCTGCCGCCATGTTGGCAGGAGGAACTGGAGGTGGATCCGGTGGTGGTGGTGGTGGTGGTGTTGGTGGCGAGGCCAGTGCGGCTGATGAGAAGCCAGCTGTTTTACAATTGCCATCTGCTGGCGATGTCAAACCAGTTGTGGCCCAAACCATATCAGCAGCAACAGTAACAGCAGCGCCAGCGCCAGTGGTGCCACTAGCACCACCACCGCTCTCCTCCTCCCTCGTGGCAGCCTGCTCCAGCGGAGCCGCCTCCTCCACATCCACATCCACAACCAGCTCCACACCCACCTCCCCCTCCGCAAGCAGCAGCAACAGCAGCAAACCGAGCAATCCACCGATGAAAGCACTGAAATGCGCACCGCCCACGACTGGGTCGCGAGCCAACACATCAGCACATCCCACCACGAGCAGCGTGTCCACTTTGTACCAGCCTGCGCAGGTCACTCCGGATTATCGCTTCAACCAGCAGCAACAGCAGCAGCCACAGACGACGGGCTTTGGGCGTGGTGTCAACGGCTCAACAGCGACGCTGGTGATACCACAGGTGCCACAGCAGCACTTCCTCGCCAGTCATCAGCAGCAGGCTCAATTTGCCCATCAGCAGCAGCCCCCGCAGCAACAGCAGCATCAGCAGCAACAGCAGCCTGCCCTAAAGTTCAGCTATGCCACAGCTTTGCCCCCACCTCCGCCGCTGCAGGTGAGTTGAAAGGGCTGAAACGGATGCAATTGTCTCCAGAGATTCCTAATGAACATAAAGATAGCATCAAGACACAACCTTATCTAAGAGTTTATCTTAACCAAAGGTCACTTATCTGGGCATCCTAAAACCGAACGACTTTAAATCAGTTAAAAATCAATACTTGAAAATCGACTTTCTGCTATGAAAATATATTTGTAAAACAGGCAGAGAATGTATGTTGTGTTTTTATGTAATCTTTTTATATAGCTATTTCAAACACAGGAAATCTTATTGATTACAATGGGGAAGCGTATGGGCGTATGCAGAATTTAGAGAGATATGTAGCTTCCTAAAAACATTTGTGGGCAGTTTAGGCTGTGGTTTAAATTTCCTATGAGTTGCATTTAATAGTTAAAAGATTAAAGATCAATTAAAGATTGATTTATAATTGTAATTAATAAGTTGGCCTTGTATTAATATCTCCTCACCTTGTGTACCTTTGCATCCTTTTTTGGACTTGATCTATTTGTATTCTACAACTCAAATTTTCTTGCAGTTGTTTACGCAGCAACAGCAGACGGCTGCTGCATCGCAGGTGCAACAGCAGCAGCAACAGCAATCGCACCAGAAACCACCTCCCGCCTACGGAGCCGCCATCAGTCAAATACGATCTCAGCACAACCAAAACAAGCAGCAGCCACAGTCTCAGAACGTGGCGGTGCACCACAATCTAGCCCTGGCACCACCGACGACAGCAGCGGCGGCTTCAACCCCACTTGCAACAGCAACTGCAACTGCAACAGCAACTGGCAAGCAGCTCAGTAAGCCGCTAGCGGAAGTATTCCTGAATCCCCCACCACCGCCGCCGGCACAGCAGCAGGCGCAGGTCCACAACTTGGTACAGCATCAGGCGAATCAAAATCAGCACCATCAGCATCCGCACCAGCACCAGCAGCAGCAGCAGCAGCAAAGCCATCAGCTGGCCACATCGTCCTCCGCCAGGTTGCAACAGCACCACCAGCAGTCGCCCAGCTTGCAGGCTTACGGATCTGCTGTGAGCAGTAGTTGCAGCTCCGCCAACAACCCCTCCACCTCGGCATCTGGCCTTCGGGTCAATCGTCAGACAAACTCCCCGTTTGGAGCCCTGCTCAATGCTGCGGCGGCTGTGGCCTGCGCCTCGCCAGCTTCCTCCAGCGCTTCTTCGTCGGTGCTGCGCTTTGCGGAGTCGCCGGTGGCCCACTACTTGGAGCGCGAGAACGGAGACTTTATTGTCCAGGAGACGCCCAAGCACATTGTGGAGTGTGTGGAGAAGGAGGACGGCGAGTTCTCCGTGATCGAGCGCATTTACCAATCCCCGCCGAGTGTCCTGCACATACACGATGACGACGAGGACGAAGAGGATGATGAGGACGACGATGAGGACGACCACGAGGCTCCGCCGGAGGAGGAGGACGGCGACGATGAGCGGGAGGAGAACAGTCACAGTCGGAACATAAGCAAGACAACGAAGAAGGCTCGCAAGACCAAGCCGAAGCGGAGCTCCAAGCGCGTCTCGGACGAGGAGGAGTTCATGAGCCTCAGCAGCGGATGCGAAAGTGAGCTGGAGGCGGAGCGTAAGCAGGAGCATCCGAGCACGGCGACACCGCTACCGCCTCCGCTTTGCACAGCTCCGTCAACGAGCACTGCTGCGGCATTCACTTCCTCCTCCAACCAAGCGGATAATCATTCCAATTCCGCCTCCAACTCCAACTCCGCCTCCAACTCCAACTCCATCACCACGACCAAGTCCAAAAAGAATCGAATCACTGTGCTCAGCGATGTGCCGCTCAATATGAATGAGTATCTCGATTTGATGGGCAACATCGTGGCCTCCAGTCGCATTGGTGCGGGTCGTCCCTTTGCCGCTGTGGCCCCCATACCACTTGTGAAGGTGGAGAAGGAGGAGCCCCTCGACGACTACGACAACGGGCCAGTGCCAGAGCCAGTGGCAGTGGCAATGGCAGGGCAGCAGCTGGAGCAGAAGCCCAGCCTGGAGCACGGCACCACCAGCGTGATTCGCATGGCAAGCACGGCTGCTTCCGCAACGACCTCCGCAACGTCGGCCAGTGGCCTGTCTGCCGAGGATCTCACCCAGCCGCCGCCCGTGAAGGTCGAGGTGGAGGCCACCACCACACTGCTGCCGCAGCGCTTCACCACTCCCGCCCAGCAGCGCGGCCCCAAGAAATTAGTCATCAAACCAAAAGCGACGGCGACGGCGACAACAACGAAAAAGACTGACACCCCATCTTCCTCCAGCAGCAACCCATCCATATCAAAAGATTTGGTGCAGGTGAAGAGTGAGACCCAGGAGGCTCCAGCTCCAGCTCCAACGCCTAGCAGTAGCAGCAGCAGCAGCAGCATTCTGGAGAAGCACCTGACCGCCAGTCGCAAGCTGATGCACCATCACTCGGCGGTGAACGACGACGATGCCCGGGTGCTGTTGGAGTTTGCAAACTCAAAGCAGCCGCCACCACTGGCCGCTTCCAGCACCACGTTCGTGGTGAACGCCAGTGCCGGATTCCCCTCGGCGGGATCGGTCTTTGCCAGCAGCACCAGCAGCAGCAGCGGATGCCCCAAAGTGGCCGTTAAGCCGGGCGAGGAGTACATCCTGCCGGACAACAACATGGATGTGGATGAGATTGTGATATCCTCGTCGTCTTCCTACACCTCCTCAGCGGCCCAGGTGCAGGCCACGCTGCAGCCGCCGGACTTTAACTTTCTGTACCACCAGACCACGACCACGGCCACGACGGCCACCTACTTCAATCCCTTCTCCAGGCAGCAGCAGCACCACCATCACCATCACCATCACCCGCAGCACCAGCAGCCGCCGCATGGGGTGAGCGATGCCACCAATGCGGCCACCCTGGCCTCGTCGTCCAGCAATTCCATGGATCACGACTCCATGAATGCAACATTCCGCGTGGCCAAGACCCAGTCGCTGCAGTCGTGGTACCAGCAGGAGCAGGAGCCGGAGCAGGAGCACGACGCCCGCAACCAGGGGGGAGCGGAGTCGGGAACAGGGACGCCCTCCAATCAGAGCCAGGATGTGGTCAGCCACCAGCCCACCAACTTCAATGCCGCCCTGGCGGCCGTCGATTGCTGCAGCGTTGCCCTGGACGAGGATGCAAAGTATCTGGATCTGGACGCCTGCAAGCGGGAGCAGCTGAGCAGCAGCAGTAACCTGCCCTCGGCCTCCGCGTCCACCACGTCGTCCTCGTTCGCCGGCGCCGGAACGGAGAGCAGCTTGGTGGGCGGCCTGAACATCCGCACCGATGAGAAGATGCCCGCCAAGGGTGAAATCTCCGAACAGGAGAGCAACTGCGACATTGAGAACTCCTGGAGCGAATCGGTATGTGATCAGTGCATTGATTCTAGTTCTAGGCCAAATATTAAAACCGCACACTCCCTTCCCAACAGGTTTATGGGGATATTTCGCAGCGGTATTTCAGGAACCAGTTCTCTGGAGGCTACAACCCCGACTGGCGACAGGATTACTACCCGGCTCAGGATCTCAGCGCCCAGCAGAGGGAGCAAAAACGGTTAGTCCAGTTTCAGCCAATGCATGTCAATTAAACGGGTATCTGTAGAAAAATTGTTAAGATATTGGTTGGTTTTTAAAAACAGCTTCCCATATCTACATTTTGTTTATTTCAAATTAAAATCTAAAGAATTTTAAACATTTACAGTTTCGAGTTCAATGCGGTTGATGATGAGGCCTCCTCCAGCTCCAGAAAGAGTCAGCTAATGGAAGGCGGCGGCGTCGTAACTACCGCCACCTCCTCCACATCCGCGTCATCGGCTATGCTGGCGGGTCCACCAATAGCCTCGACATCTCGGGCTGCCGCAGAGGCGGCAGCGGAGGCGGCTGCTCTCGCCCAGCGGAAACCACAGCGGCGCAAGCTCTACAAGTGTCCGCACTGCGAGGCGATCTTCGAGAAGCTCAAGGAGCGCAATGCGCACATGATTGGCGAGCACAACTACGTGCGCCAGAACCGGCGGCTCATCTGCACGCAGCCGCAGGTGAGCGCCTCGATGCTGCCGCCGCAGCATCAGGTGATCCTGCAGGCGGGCGAGGGTCTGCAGGAGGACTCCAAGGATGGCATTGTCAAGATCAAGCAGGAGCAGTGCCAGGAGAAGCATGATGTTGAGCATATGCACGCCCATGCCGACTTGCTGTCGGATGTCAAGGACTCCGAGCTGCTGGGCATCGGGGGCGATGGCGGAGATGACGGAGATGTGGATGGCGACATCAAGCCACCCAGCCAGCTGGATGAGAAGCCCACGCTACCGCCGCTGGCCATGACAACGCCGGCCGCCAAGCTGGCTGCCCTGTACCGCATGCTCATCGCCTACAATGAATCCAAGCTCGGCCAGGAGCGCAACAACCTCAGCGAGCTGGAGCAGAAGGCCATGGAGAAGTCGATCTTTCTGTGCTACGTTTGCCGCACCGACTTCCCGTCCGTAAAGCTCTACGACGCCCATCTCACCGAGCATCCGGCCGAGTGTTTCACCTGCGGCAAGAAGTTCTACCGCTGGAAGAACTTCTCGTTGCATCTGAAGCGGCACTTGGGATGGAAGGAGTTCGGCTGCTACGTTTGCGACAAGAAGTTCGTGGTGCGCAGCGCCCTTGTCGAGCACATGCGTATGCATACGGGCCAAACGCCGCTCAAGTGCAAGATATGCGGTGAGTTCAGTAAATAAATAGTTTGTTGGGTCCATAAGTATTCAAGCCTGTAATGGTCTAGATAGTTTGACAAGCCTACAGTTGTCTTAAGAACACTTATCGATTCATCCTTAAATACTTTTATGTAGAAGCGTACCGTAATCGACAACTTTCATGCAAATCACAGGCAAAAAGTTCAAGCGCTACTCGAATCTGACGCAGCACCGCAAGCGGCACACCAAGATGATGGTGCGCAAAAAGGAGTACGTTTGCCACTGCGGCGAGGTGCTGCCCTCGAAGGCGCGCTTCCTGTGGCACAAGGAGACGCACGACCTGAAGCCCAAGTGCTGTCCCTACTGCTGCGATCGGTTCGTGCACGCCAACTCGCTGCGCCGTCACATCCGGCTGGCGCACTCCGACAAGTTCGACTACGCCGAGCCGATGGAGTGCCCCATGTGCAAGCAGATATTCGCCAAGACGTCCATCAAGGCGCACATGGCGACGCACTCGACGGAGCCGCAGTACGACTGCGCCATCTGCAGCAAGAGCTTCTCCACCAAATGGAATCTCAAGATCCACTCGTGGGTGCACGCCAACCGAACGGCCAAGCCCTTCAAGTGCGAGTACTGCCCGAAGGCGTTTGTGCGGGAGCTGGACTTCAAGAACCACATCAACGCGCACAAGCAGATCAAGCCGTACACGTGCGAGTACTGTGGCTGCAAGTTCATCCGCAAGTACAACTACATGAGGCATCGGCGCGAGCATCATGGCACCAAGAAGTTCACATGCGACCAGTGCGACAAGTCCTTCCATCGGCACTACTATCTGATCGAGCACCGGCGCATGCACACCGGCGAGCGGCCGTTCACCTGCACCATCTGCGGCAAGAGCTCCACCACGAAGACCAACCACAACAAGCATCTGAAGATCCACCACTCGCGGGATCCCTTCACTGTGGAGGCCTAAGGGGGGGGGCTCAGCAGCAACGGGCTTGGAAATCGAACTAAAGTTTAATATAATCATTACCTAGGTAGTTGTTCATGACTCTTCTCTGTGTGTACTGTGTGTCTGTGGTTAAAACAACAAAAAACAAAGCAAAACAAAACAACAAATTAGTATTACTTATCGAACTATATATTTAGTTTACATACGCGATTGCCAACTCTTGTTGAATAAGCAAACAAGAAACCATTATCACAATAATTACATTTTACTAATCATACATTTTGGATGTGGTTTAAGAACGTAGCTAAATGTGAAAGTGAAACCCCGTTTTCTTCCTCCCGATTCGAATTGGAATTCGCGTCAACCGCTTTAATCCCGTTTAGGTTTTAGTTGTAAAAACTCTTTTAGTGAAATGGCATACCTAGTTCAGTGCAATATACATCGATTAATTACCATATGCCGCTATACTTTTCATTTCTCTAGTTTAGTTTAGTTCGCATTAAGTTTATTCATTTATCTAACTATGTGTAGGAAAGCATACTAGTTTAATATAAGTTAGCCTCAATTGGTTTTAAAATTTCGAGCACATTCTAAGCGAAGGACACATACACAGAAAACGATCACCCATCTAACAACTTGTTATATAATTTGTATTTTTCTAATTGAAGAGAAAACTCTTTGCCAGCAATCGAACGTAAGCGAACACAACTGTCATATTGGATAAACAATTTCGATGTACGTAGAATATTTTCCATTTATAGTAGTTGCAACTTCTCTAGGCTATTTTAAAAAGATTGTTTTGATGGTTTAATGCAGCAATTAGTTAAAATTCCTAGCATTAAGTGAACACAACATTAAGTATAAATGAAATTTCATAATACATGCATATGCATACATGCATCATAATAACGAAACAAACAAACAAATGAAAACAAAACAAAACAATTTTAAAATATTTACAACTTACAATACAAATTTCACTGAGAACTAATGGAAAGAATCCCATTCTATGGAGGAAATAAATTCAATTTATGGATAATTACAAAACAATTATTGCCTCTTATTGATTTTATTTACCGGATAAGTGGGAAGAAAAAAAATGATTTTCAGGTCGTTAAAAAGTTTAAACTTATTCTTAAGTTTCGTGATAACAACAGATGTGAAAGTTGGTATATAAAGTCGATTGGTTTGTATATAAAGTTAATATGCAAAAAATGTATAACAAAAAATTAAGGGCAGCATTGACTATGTGTTAAATTATATAGTATAATTTTAAACACATTTTGTATAAGAGTGGCCATTAAAAAGATTGTGTGAATTTCAAAATTTTGATAATGCGAATTCACATTCCATTGAGAACTGAGCGGTCGCAGAAGTTACATTTAACTTCTAATTCAATTTTTATAGCATAGTTCGTGGAAATAAATCATTGTTTTGCCAGTCATGAATTTTTATTTAAATTTTATTTAAGTGAAAGAACGTTAAATGGTAAAAGAAAAACACTTCAGATTAGAAAATTGTCGAGTAAATTAAAATGTCAAGTAATACTGCAATACATATTCATTTATGTAGTGATGCGCATATCTAATGCGTTTAAAAGTAATGATATTTTATATTTTTTTATGTTTTCTTCAGGAGCATCCAACTTTCACAGAGAGATTGGTACAAGAGCTTCTTCTTGTGCCTGTCCTCAAACAGCTCCACTTCGATCAGATCGGGCTCGCCATCGGATCGGTCCAAATGATTGGAGTGGTAGGTAATGGGATAGTGAACCCGGGCAAAGGCCAGCGGATATTTGCAGAGGCAGGCCTGCAATGCCTGGCGCACTGACTTTTCTCCGAAATTCTTGTTCCTCTTGACGCCGTGGAGTTTAACCCGGAACGATCGCAGCGGGAACATGAACAACTGACTGGGCATCACCTTTAAATGGTTGTGTGAAACCCTCTCGGTGTCGTGGAAATCTATGTAGAATACGGTGGCTTGGAGATTGCCCGGAGGCACCTCCTTAATAATGGCCCGGTACCACTGCTTGTCCTTTGAGTAGCGAGCCAAGCACAAGTCGCCCAGCTTGGGACGCTTAAGCATTTCCGCATCCTTGATCAATACACTTGTCTCCTGAACCAGGCTAATGTCGTGCTTTGTGAACTCGGAAAGACACGGCGCGATCTGCAGCTCGGTGGCCGACAGCACGCTGTCCACGGTGCACTGGAACTGCTTCACTCCGTTGGGCAGGGAAAGCGTCTTGAAGCTGCCACTGGCATCGTAGTAGGACCTTACGGTCGAGGTTTCCAAGGGTGAAAAGCTGACCTTGTCCTTCATTTCCTTAAAACGAAACAAATAATTTGTTCACATTAATCACATGATTTCAAAATTACTAAGAATGGAAATCCTATTTGTTTTACCTCATGACGCAGTTCAATGCGACGCCGCAGCTGATCTGCGGCCGAAAAGTTGAGCGGTTCCATCTGACTGATTTCGTTATCCGCATCCTCCTGCCCATCATCACTTGCAGAGGAACTTGAGCACTGCTCTTCATCTTCTGACGAGCCATCAAGTCCCGATTCTTCGGCGCCGCTTTCGGCAGCGTATTTTTCAAAGTCGGGGCGATAGAAACTATTGTCAAGGTACACTTCTTTCGCAAGTTGCTGACAATCGAAATCCTGGTCACATTCAAAGGCCTCCACCTCCTTGCTATTTACCAGGTACTTTTTCTTTGTGGGCGGTTCCTGAAACGACGATTCAGTTTCGTTGTTTCGCTGGGCATTAGCGGGTTCTCTTGGTGTGTTTGTTGATACTCCATTGCCGAAAGCCAGGTCCTCCAGTTCGTCGAACATCTTAAACTCCTTGAGTGCTCTTTGGGGACTCATGAATATGGATTTCTTTTTGGTCGTCGGCTTCTTCTCGGCTGGCACAGATATGCCGCAGTCTATCATCATGGTGGCAATGTCCACATTGCCCACCTTGATCTGGCAACTGGGATGCTTAGTGGTCCCCACTCCCCTGACCTCCATAATGCGCACACTGCTCAGCTTCATGACCAAATGCTGGTGGACCGTGTCCATCTCCTTAACGGAGTACTTTGGCCGCTTCGAGCGCACTCCGTGAATCGTGACCAGAAAGCACATGGCGTTCAGTTCCGGGAACGGGGCATATGGCAGCATCTCATCCGCTTTGACCTGCTCCATGTTGCCATAGTCCACATAGTACACGGTGTACTCATCGTGGCTGTTCCTCAAGCGCTGCACTATTCCGCGATAGATCAGGTTGTCCATGTGATAGGTGACCAGCACCGGCTGTCCCACCTCGTACTTGTAGGCGGTGGATCGCTCCTGCTGCTTCTCCATCAGCGGCTTGAACTTCCGCACCAGCAGGTTGCGCATGTGTTCCATGAAGGGCTTGTCGTTGGCCAACGTCAAGTAGACATGGCACTCGTAGTTCACATTCGTGGCGATGGCCGTAAAGATGGTCTTCTCGCACTTGCGTGGCGTTGTCCATCCAGCAGGTGGTACTGTCAGTCCCGTCGTCTGCTTGGCCTTTCCCAAATCCTCCAGGAGTTCCAGCGGTGGCATGTCCTCGTTGTGCTCGAAGCCAACCTTCAGTCGAGGCGATTCTACGGCATTGATGCTCTGTGCCTTGACCATCTTATCAGTCTTATCAATGTTGTCCATATAGGACTGCATGGCCTTAATGTCGCTGGATTTGGTTGTTCCGTCGGAGCGAAAGCTGACATTGTCGGTCAACGACTGCTGGTCCTCGGGATCGAAGGTCGGATCCTTCTCAGCCATGCCGGCCAACAGAAGGGTCTTGTTGATATTCACGTACTTCATTCGGGCGGGCGCGAAGGGTCCGTTGATTATGGTGTGGGAGCCCCAAAGGACCACGCTCAACGAGTTATCCGAAAATCCGTGACCTGTCACATGGATATCGTCGTAAGCCTGCAACTGGTCCTTGAAGAAATCAATGGCGTCTTCGGACCACCCATCGCCGATCGACCGAATGCCGTGCAAGTGACAACGCTTGGCGCTGTTCGAGATGCGCATGTTGGCCTCGTCAATGGAGGTCAGGCAAGTGCTGCTCACATTGTCGGCCAGCTCACCCAAGTCCCTCAACTGCACTTGGTAGTGGGTCGATTGGGAACCAGCACCGCAAGAAGCCATGACCTTGGTCACCACTCCACGATGCCACAATAGCTGCGAATCGCACTTGGCCTGTACGCTCACATAGCACATGTCGCCCACCTGCCAATTGGTCCTGGGCAGCATGTCCTGGTACATGGCGGCCGCCGCTTCCTGCACCGACTTCTGCAGGAGCTCGATGGCCGGCTGGAAGTGGGGCAGCGTCACATAGAACTCGTCCGGCTGTCGCACGTAAAGAACATGGACATTCACGCGCTTGTTTCGCTCGTTCTTATCGGCCTTCTGGTAGGGAGCCATCTCCACCGGCTGTCCCTTCTTCTGCTGCTCCATAAACCTGCGCGTCTCCACGTCCAGGCGCATGAATCGTGACGAGTTGGGTGCTTCGATCACCTTACTGGTCTCCCCGCTCGAGGTGCAGTGTCCCTGGGCCACCAGTTGGACTCCCACGCTGGTGGTCTCCGAGCCCGAACGCATGAAATTCAACGCCACATAGACCATATCGCCCGTGGAACGGATCACCTCCATGTACAGCTTGGGATTCGCGGTAAGCTGCCTGAAGGAGGCCGTCGCCTCCGCCGTCCACACATAGGCCTTCTCCGGACGGGTTTCCACATCCGCCAGGCAGCACTTGATGGCCAGCTCGGTGTCCCAGAAGCTCTGCGGCAGCACGAACAACTGGTCCCAGAAGACCTTTTGACTGGGGCCATCGTCCACCAAGCGCACAAGAACGTAACCTGAGAAAAATATTAATACACAGAAAAGAAAGGACGAGTTCCGTCAACAAAAATCGATCAAAAACAATTATATATAGAATAAAGCGTAAGTATTGTTAATAAAACATAAAATATTTCTTAGTTATCTGCACATAAAATCCTTTAACAATCCTAAGCTTATATTCTAGGCCTTTTTTTTTGTCAACCACTCTTTTTTATTTTGGTGATTCAAGATTTTGTCTATTTTTTGTATAGCTCACCGTCGGGAAGGATCTGCTCGATGCTGGCCCGCTTCCATTGCCCATCGGTCTGCAGGACGCAGCCAAGGTGCTGGCGCCCTAAGAATATGTTCTGCAGCTGGCTAATGCTAATGCGATCCATGGTTCCCTGCAGGTTGGCTTGCAGCAAGCAGCGCTGCGACTCAAAGTCGTGGCGCATCACATAGAACTCCTGCGGGTCCTCCACGTGCAGCATCTGGACCATGAACAAGTCGCCGAACTGGAACTTCATTCGGGGCAGGCGCAGCAAGTGCGGAGCGGGCTGCAGCCACTGGTGGTCAATAGCTGGCGCACGACCGCAGCGGGAGCGCGCCAGGCCAGAGTACAAAAAAGACTCGCGGACGGAGATGTCGGTGTTGTAGTTGCTGGTGATGAGATCCACCTCGTGCAGCTCATGGGTCAGAGCTTTCTTGACGATCACGTGCACCGGATTGCTGTGCCAAAAGTGCATCGAATTAGATTGTGTTTGGCTTGGCAAAGAGCAGGAGATGATTCACTTACTTCTGCACAATCTGCTTGAGAAAGGCACTGGCCCGATTGTCCCAATCCGATCCGCCGTGGTTGGGCATCAGCTCCCACAAGCTGCAGTGTACGGCGGAATACGGCAGTTCGGCCAGACGCTCCGGCAGCTCATACAAGCTGCAAAGAAATCGAACTTCAGTTAGAAACCAAGTTTAAACGTAGATATTGAAAACTTTATTTATAATACTTTAGTGCCAAATTTTAAACGATTTATAGATTTCATTTTAATGCTTCAAAAAAAGAGGAAATGAATCGTTCTTACGAATTATTTGTTTAAAAAAACAGATTTTAACTATTAAGTTATATGCTAAAGTGCTAAAATTTCTGACCAAACCTGACCTCAAATCGACTGCAATATTAAATAATAATAATATTTTTGCTTTCACAAGGAGGTTTAGTAGCTAAAAGAAAGCTTCATTGTTACATTTGCGCAACGAAAAAGGTATGTGTGAATTATATGCCATTTTTAATTATTTTAAACCATTTATTTAAAAATCAAAAAGAAAACTCACTTGTTGCCGTGAGTGTCGACATAAAGGCCGATGTCCGGCAGAAAGGCCTTGTAGGTGTCCCGCGTGGGCAGTTTCTGGCTGATCATGGCGCGGTAGAACCGGTCCTGATCCTTGTGGTAGGCGATGTAGTTTTGGCCCACCACAATCTGCGGCGGTGGAGAGCGACTGGGTGTGTGTGCAAGGGTCTGGGAGAATGTGTCCAGTTCCTCGCGCAATCGCTGGGCCGAATGGATGCCCTGGACGTAGAAATCTTCGGGGGAGTTGACGGAGCGAACCTTAACGAGAGCATCGGTCTTGAACCAATCGATTGTACTTCCGCCAGCCCTGGAAACCGATGTCTCATTCGGTTTGGTAATGTCTAAGGCCGAGAAGCACCGCACAAAATCAAAATCCCTTGGTGAAAACTCATCGGTAGTGGCACCAGTCGAAGTTAAACTGGACTCCGCTTTCTTGGCCTTTTTGGCCCGTTTCCTTTGACCCTTCGACATTGGCTGCTTTGTTTGCGAACTTTGGCTGAGCATCAGTTGGGAAGCCAATGCGTTGGGGTGGCTAACATTATCCTTGCCACTGCTGAAAGACCTGGAGAAGGCGATGTCTTCAGCGGATGACATTGAGATGCTGCTGCAGCTGCTCTCAAAGTCGGTACTGAAGCGAACTTGAATCTTAGGGTCCACAAATTCGCACTTGAATAGATTGGCCATATCCATAATGCGACCACAAGCCACGCTAAATGATTGAAGGCAGAGGAATACTTATATAGCTTTCATCAAATCTATACCATTTCTTACCGATACGGATTTTCCGAGATCTTGGTGACTTGCACAGTTGTGGGAATCTTCTCGAGATGCTCGCCGATTAGTTTAAGCACCCACTTCAGGCTGATATCGTTTGGCACACACATGTTGCCGTCGGGGTCACTTTCCAGAAATTGCTTTAAACGCTGTTAGCAGAAGATGATGTCTTAGATCAGGAGCGGAACAAAAGTGTCCTGTGCATGGACTCTCACCTTGATCACCAACTCGTAGCCACTTAGCCTGCCCAGGGCTTCGTTCACCTCCATTTGAGGTGGCAGACTGGACTCGCGCAGCTTCTCGATGACCTGCAGCTCGGCCACCTGGAGCAGGCCGTGCAGGTGGCAGAAACGCTTCGAGATGCTGGCCAGCGTGTCGGAGGCATAGTCGCTCAGCTTCTGCTTGGCCGCTCGAACCACCTGCGATGGCAAGAAAAAAAAATATAGGAAAAAAAAAAACCGGTGGTTAGTGGATGATAGCCCCATGCAGATTAAAACGCTGCACATTCTAATGACTCCGCTCCGCCAGTTGCCACCTAACCCGACCTCAACTCTATCCACCTATCCACCTCTCCAGGTGAACGGCGAGCGTCTCTGGTTTTAATTGTGCATTTCTCAATCGCAGGCAAGTGGTGGCCACTTCTTTTCAGATATGCCAGTTCGGTTTTTTTTTTTGTAATATTTAACGCTGTATTATGTTTTGAATAAATTTTACAAAATCGTATTTTTCAATTATTTAATTTTTGTGTAAAGATAATACAAGCAAGATTACAATTATATTATTATTTGTGGACAAATTCCCACTAGCTTCAGATTAAGTTGTACAAAAATGTTCGATTTTAAGAGTTAAGTAAAGACAAACGAATAAAAAAATGTTCACATGCTAATATAAAACTTATGTAAAGCAATAAAAAATCATTTTAAAGTTTTACTTGTTTTGGTTAAATAAAAAAGAACCTAAAATTGAAAAGCCTGTAAAATGAAAGTACACAATAAAAATCAATTATATTCGACAGGATTTTTGTGCTCAATCAGTTTTTTATAGTTTCCTCCCGGCAAGTCGTTATTTTTTTTATTAGTTGATTTGTAATCAAAACAGACAACACTGCCTCTTCTGTGGCTCTTAATCGCAATCATCTTCTTTGCCGCTCGTCGAGTGGCAATGATCATTATCAAAGATTGTTTGGCTGTTAGTTGGGTTTTTGAAAGTGATTGTAAAAATCACCGAAATAACGCTGGCTCGACTTGGATCGGATCGGATCGGGCTTATGACAGCTGATTTGTAGCAGATGACAGGCAAGTTCGCGCCAACGGGCCGTTCTGCCATAAAAGGGCATCAATCGAGCGATCCAATCTCAAGAGTTGTCGTGTAAATGAGACCATGTAGGAGCCCGAATCTGGCACATCATTAAAACGAGACTCGGATCGTTTCTGCCAGTCCCGTCGCTTGGGGCACTGTGCAATCAATTCACCTGACCTTGTCAAGGGTTTGGGGGCCCGAGGAGTTTGAGAGCCTAATATCGATTCGACATAGACATTTCCATTGTTTACCTTGTCTATCAAAAGTCCCCAGCCCCAATCATATATTGACATCCAGTCCTCGCCAATTAGTTTTAATGGCCACGAAAATACTTTTCAATAATCCGCAAGCGCTGAGCCCAGTCTTAAATTATGGAAACCCAAGCCGGCAAGCTTACGAATCAACTTCTAACTTCCTACAAAACGAACGTGTTTTGTGGCCCCATAAAAAAGAACATTATGAGTGACCTAAAAATAATGAAACCCAAAGACCATGTTCTTTGCAACAGATTTCATCCCTTTCAAAATGTAAGTCCTTGGGTGCAACTTTTCTGTTTTTCCTTAAAATCAATTAAAATTAAAACCAGAAAACACTTACGAATGTTGAGAAAGCGGATCAATAAGTTAATAGACAATAATAACATTTAACCGCACTACAACTAAACATCAAATGAAAGGATACCCCACTCGCCCGCTAGAATAATTATTTACTATTACAAATATAATTAAGAAACATTAAATTCGCCCCTGGCTGATGTGTGATAAGTGTCTGCTCGTAAATCCACTGGCCGAATATCAATCATTCCGAGATAGTTGCCATCATTTTATGGACTCCGCGATACATGCTGTCATAACTTGATCAGCTCAGTTGTAGACATTGATTTAATATGCCTTTGGAGATTACATAACCTTGCGGCTTCGTTTGATAGATCTTTCGGCGGTTCTACATTGGTTACGTATAACACTTGGCGAAACATTAAAGCTATTAGCGGGTAATTAAAGTTACAACAAAAAAGTGAGTACGAATGCGATTATTAAACGCAATTTTCAATTGGAGTAAGTGAACATAAATTTTTGCTTAATAAACTCTGCGGTAAATAAGCCCGACTTCAGTCGATCACGGACGGATGGCCAGACAGACAGACAGACAGTCGTCCAGTTCATTTTAGCCAGTTTATCAATTACAGACAATCGGACGCTCGGCCGGACACGCAATTTGGCGCCGTTTTGTGCCGCCTCGTTAGCCACCTTTTCGACTGCGTAATGTTCAGACCCGATTTGTGGCTTTTGCCATTAATAATTGTTTCTCGTTTTATATAATACATAATTTGAGTACGCTTTACTTGTATTTATTTTTGCAATTACCCATGGGGAAGCGAACGACGAACTGCGATTTATGCACGCCTCGATCTGGCCGGACACGGGGCCTAATGTGATTATGATTTATGTGGGAGGCCTTGAGGTGCTGCCTACTGCTGCCTACCGCCATCACCCGAGATTGGACCGAGCTGTCCGAACTGACTGAGTGATGCCAGCCAGCAGCATTAAGCGACCAATTCGATCGGAACCATCTGGACAAGGTTAATTGCGAATGCTGGTCGGCGCATGGCACATGGCACCGGCACCGAATAAATCAGTTGCCCCTCAAAGTCCTCCTTTGTGTCTCAATTAAGTACATTTATATGGGGGATCCACAGCAGAAGCCTCTTGTGTTGTAGCACAAGAAGAAGGCTCCTCGGTCCAAGGTACATTCTGTGGCAGCCAAAGACCTACAACACAAGGTCAATTGCAAAACGGTTTGCATTCAAGATGCTCTACGCCAGAACACTGAACAAAGTCCGAGGTACAAACATATTTTTGGAATTATTGGTCCTACAAAAAAAAAAAACTTTCTGAAATATCGCTTTTTTAATGGATAGACTGGACGAAAGAGCTAGTAAATGTAGAAAATAACAAATCTTAACTTTTAAAACCTTACATTTAGTAAAAAAATTTGAAGTGCCTAATGTAAAGTTTATAAAAATCGACACGAATATTTACTTATTTAAATTTATTGATGTCTTACAAATAATTTTCGGTAGTGAAGTTTCCTATTCAGATGTTGCAAAAAATCAAACAATATATAAACCTTCAAAAAATGAAAGGCCCCGAAAAAGTAAAAAAGTGTCACTTAGCTTAGGCTTTTCCGCTCTAGTCAGACCAAAAACACAAAATATGAAATGAAAAACTTAATTACACTATTAATTAGAAGCTGCTGTGGCCTGGCCAGCTTTTTGTTCTTCGGTGTCTTGTTTTTCCAGCTCGAAGGTTGCCCAAAATAGGGTTCGGGGCTCTCTCGACTGCCAACTTTTTCGTGATTCATCGGGCAATTGGCAATTGCGTAAGATCAGAGCAGAGCAGATCGAGCTAGTTAGTACAATTAAAAGTGAGCTAGCCGAGTGTGCGCGCTCAAGTTGAACATATATTTTTTGGAGGCACGACAAACGAGTTCAGGCCGGGCTCAAAAGCCACTCAACTATGAGTTGGAGTGTTTTCTTGAGCGGAGTGGAGTGAATCTTGTGTTTTCTGGGTAGACGGCCAAGTATTTGTATTCAACAACAATTGCAGTCAGTTGAGGTTGAAGCGTCTGGTTGAACGGTTGTACTTGTCGATCAATAGTCAAAAAATATTACAGCCTTTACAAATAAAAGTGAAACAAGAAGTGTACGAGTTGTATTATTATTGTCCCCGGCCACAAATTGTGTTGTGCCATATTCGTGTGCTCCATTGTCTCAGGAAAACAAACTAAGGCAATTGCAACTGCAATATTACAGCAGCAGCACCAATAGCACAGCAGCAACATCAACTGTGCAACGCGAAGCTTTTACCCGCCCGCTATTTTGGCGGCCTCTTGAGCAACCGCCTCATATACGACTTAACTGCTTTATAGGCCATGCAAATTTAAAGCAATCTCCCGCTTTGGTGTGGTTTGATTTTCCAATTTCGACTGGGAAAAGTCAACTTACAAAAGGAAAATAGAAAACTAAACGAGTGCAACGGCAGCAGCAACTGCGAATTGTCTGCGGTGGTTGTCGTTAATAAAAACGGATTGATTGTAATTGTTGCTTTAAGCGAAATCTTACTTATCGTTAAATTGCTATACCGCACGCGGTTTTTTTTGCCTTGACTATTTGGTTTCAAGTGCATGAAAGTAAATGCGAGTGTTTAACTAACAAGCGAACAAACATAGCAAAAGGTTAAAACACAACTCGTAAATCAAACTATAGTAGTGGGAGTCAAGCAAAAGGAACCGCTTCCTGCCGAAAAAAAATAAAACAAAAATAGTATTTACCAGCAGCAGACACAGCAGCAACATGTTGCCGAGGATAAGTTTTGTGTTCATCATCATTTGTGGATATTTATTATTTACTGGTAAGCTGTGAAGACAATCCCCCAACCCATAAATCAAAATTCCCAACAATATTTATGTGAGTCGCATTTTAAGTAGATTTACTGACTTGGTCGAATATTACAATACACTTTTGATGTATCGGTTAAGAAAGTAGTCATACTAAACAATACTTACAATACATAAAATAATGTTATAAGGATAAAGCAGTTCGAATTGTAAAAGAGAATCTTAATTTTTGTTATTTAGTTCTGAGCTGTTGATTTGGTATAATATATACTTATTAAAATAGCTAAAAGTGTTAAATCAGTTGCAAAGGGAATCTTAAATCGAAATCTAAAATGAAGCATGGAAAATATGTTAGATGTGTTAGTCATTTAACTATTTTATTCACACCCGCAATCAATTTTCCAGCTTTGACTTCCGATTATCTACTTTTGAATCTTAACAACCCAAATATCATTAATAGTAACATTTGCACTTCAATCTATATCAACTTTGCACGATTGACTGGTATTTTCCATAAAGGATTATTCAAAAGACATTTAAATGATCGATCTTTTTTACCAGGAAAATAAAACCAAAGAAACTTTCAAGCATAGGGTAATGCTCATAACAATATGATCAACAAAACTTATTTTTATGGTCACAGCAACAAGGCTGCATCGGCACAAGTTGTTTTGGCTTGGATTTAGTTAATCGAATTACACACACAACCAATTCCAATTAAGAGCAATAAATTCTAGCAGATTACACGACAACGCCGTCACATTTATGTACATATATGAATTCTTTTGCTCGTACAGTGTTAATTTCCCAACGAAAAAGAAAAACTTATGAAACTATCAGCCAAAAGTTTTAAAGAACTCTTCGAATTCTGCAGAAGATTTCTAATAAATAAATTTTAAAACTATTAGATAGAAAAAATTTGCAAACTTTAAGAAACATTTAGAATTTTTTTTAATCAAATTTAATTTTTTAATTAAAGAAAAGTTTAAAATTTTGATTTTTAATAGGTAATGAAAACATATATCAAAGTTAATTAAATTAAAATTTTAAACCTACAATATAATACAAAGTAAGTAAAGACCTTTCGTTTTCTCCTGCCTCACTTAATAAAAAAAATGTATGGCATTTATTTTATCGAAACTCTACTGTACTTCAGGGTTTGAGAGCAGGCGGAGGCGTGATGCAGCTAGCGCTGAGGCAATCCGACCGCCTGCCTTGATGTGTCAAGCGCTGGCTGACAAAACCGCAAGCCAAAACTGCGTTCAAAACGGTGCTGCATTTTATTTTTTGGTGTGTCAGTCGGTCGTCTCTCCGCTTTTCCATCGGGTGGCAATCCGTTTGGCCACTTGGCGCATGCGTAACTTTTTCGCTGGCGTTGGGAAGAGCCTGCTTGTTGCAAAATCCGCAGACCGATACGACACGACACCATGCGAAATATTCGCATGTTTTATTAGCCAGACACAGCGCCAAAGTTCAGGTTATTTATGAGTGTAGCTATATTGCGGCAATCGCATTTGAAGATGTTGCCTGGGATGCCTGGGAATACTTTCTAACTTCTGACCAGTCTCATGGCAATCGACACTACCACCCAGACCGGAAAGTTCTACTATATTTGGCATTTGACATTTGCATGATTTTGAAGGTTGCCCAAGTCCGCACCCCGAAAATATAACAACACAACCAAATGCTGCACGACATTTTGTGTGGCAAATGCAAAAAAAAAAATATATATGCACAGACTATAAAAGCGAAATTAAGCGACCGAAGCGAAGGCTATGCGAACCAAACCGATCCGCCTTTTGCCGTTTAACGTCTGCCTCCCGATATTTACCCATTTGCCATTTCAATGAGGTGCGATTTGTGCTCGCCTCTAATTAACAGTCACTCACTGGCATTGTGTTCGATTATTACTTGGATTTTAATAAACTTTTCAAGTCAAAAGTGGTTGCCCACACTCGCAGACATACCTCAGACTAGGCAAATGTCAAAGTGTTGACAATGGTTAAGAGTACCCTGTAAAAAAAATTAAAAAGAGAGAATGTTTGCAAACGAATTCCTGGAAATCATAGAATATTAATCCTATGTAAATAAGATCGTGATTTATTTCTACGTTTCTTATATCGTACGTACTTTAAATAATAAATATTTTGGTACATGTTATTAGACTAGCTATTGCATTTTAATCATATACTCAAATAGCAAACTGCAAATAAATTGTCAGCGAAATTAGGTAAATTGTGAGTAAATTGCAAAAGTATTTACATAATCTTGTACTTGAGAGCACCATTTTAAAGTCTGTGGGAGTCATGCTGTTCCTTCTAAAACCACTCCAAATCTGCCATCTAAGTTTTGAAAGTTGCCAGTAATGGCGAAGGCTTCTCCTCTTGAATGGATGCAAGAATGCGCCCCAGGCCCTCGAGTTGGAGCCCATCATCCCGACGAATGGCTTCCCACTCACATTAACCGAGCAATGCATCCGCCGTCTGTCTGTCGGCCACACAAATCAGTCGCTTGAAGCCAACGCGGCGTATACGTAATACATGCAACTAACTGGCAAATAACCTTTCAGCTGCTGTTCGGCACATCCGCTTTGGGCAGATTGTCAGATGTTTTAGCCAACCACCATTTGCCATTCGAATGTAAATGATTTTCAATTATGGCAAGAGACAGGCAGATAAGTATTTATGTGTTTCTCTAGACGAAAAAAAAAACATTTTAATATCTATGCACAGTGACGGTTAACATAATAAGAATTACAAATAACATGTACTTTATTACATTCTATACAAAAAAACAGAGACATACGTTAAATATAAAATTTAATATCTATCAACCAAGGAAAATGTAGACTATAAAAGCACTTAATTGACCGCTCTGATAATTTTTGCGATGTGGGTTAGCTAAAAGCTGCCCAAATACGTGCAAATTGCCAGGTGTAGGAAATAACTTCGCCCCTGCATCGTTGTGGCACGCAATGCTGCAAAAAAGTTCGCTTTTTTATGTATAAATTAATTGATTTATATGCATGGCTAGCAACAAATACAAATGCTCTTGCGGAAAACAAGACAAAAAATTTGACCCAATCCGGTGCACACACAAAAGATTTACCTGCGCAAACATTTTTGCGCGTAAGTCAAACATTTGGCACACATGAGAAAACAATTTATGCAGCTGTCAGCCAACACATTGCACCAGACCAGGCCAACAAACAACGGCGGACCGCCCAGCTGACACATGCAAATCGGCTAGCCAAGTCAACGGCCAACAAAGCGATAATTTTGGCCGAAAAAATATTGGAATGCCAAGCTCAAATCCGATTGAGTGTTTCCCCATTGGATTGACAATTTGTCACATATTTCCCTTCTTGCTAATGGCCATAAGTCACTCATATCACTTTGGGTTTTTAAAACCTTTATTCGGAAATCATTACGCATATTTAATGATGACCTTTCTTATATAATATTATTGTAAATCTTAACAGAATGTATTAATCCTGTTCAATATAAATAGCCTTAACATTTTTATCCCGCTTATCTTTTAAAAAGCATCTCCAGAATCATAAATCTTTTTTTACACGCACAGAATTCCGTTTCGCATCATCCATAAATTTTAACTACAACATCATCTGCGAAATCCCCAACAGAATCCATTAAATCGCTGCTCATGTTAATGCTCTGGCATAATTTTCAATTAAAATGAAATTTGTTTTGTGTGCGACAAATTGCGGAAAATTTCAGTCATTTATATTTATGAGATATGCGACATGAAAAACTGCCCAAGCGGCCACAAAAAGCGACCTCCTGCTGCATCACCTTCGAGTAGGATGTGGAAAAGTTCGAGCGGCAGTTTGGGAAACTGTGGGAATCAGTCCCGGATTTTCAATGCAATTAACGTGGAAAAACGCATAATTACATATAAAAGCTTATTAAAGTGATTTTGTAGCAGACAACCACGGTCAGGTTTTTGGGGCTTGGGGTTGTGGGTACTTAATGAATTGCAAATGGTAGGATATCAAAAATTGATTTAAGAATGTGGCTATCATTTATCATCTTTTTATCATTTTAATCGATAAGTCAATTTACAAGCAACGTAAAACTATTCTGGTTTAAAGGTTTATGTAATTTATACGATTAATAAATGTAAAAGAAATTTTTGTGATATTGGTCAATCTGGCTATAAAATCGTGCTAGACAAGCCTTGCTCAAAAACTGTAAGCTTTATGATTTTAAAAAAGATTGATCGTATAACTTGCTGAAAATGAAAACCTTCCTCGAGCGAAATTCCCAACGACGCCCACACCGCAATGCAAGTTTATAGTTGTAATGAGCCGACACAACAGCTCAACAAGCCACTAGCTTATGTAAGAAGTTTGCAAATCAATCGCATCAAGGAGTTGAAAATGTTTTGTATATTTACGTTACAATCTGACTACCTTGGAATCCTAGCCTCCAGCGAATATCGGCCCGGTTTCGTTGATACACAGAAATAAATGCAGTAAATACAAATCAATTGATCCAACAACGAAACTGCAAAAGCTTTAAATGTCGATGCAAATTAAATTCAATTAATATTATACTTATTCAGTAAGAAGAACGTTACTATATTTCTTAAAAACTTTGACAGATATATAAAATTTTTACCCGTGCAGTCAGCGTTAAGCCAGGCATCAGTTAACTGGCATTGGTGGGTGTCTTATGGCATAACGATAAAGATCGGGAGACAACGAGAGCGGTTCTTAGCTGTATACGGAATTAAATTTTACTTGGCAATTCGAATGCAGCTTAAAAGTTCTTTGGCCTAAAACGAAACTAGTTGGGGTTTGGGGACTTGGTTTTTTGGGCATAGCCAACAAATAGATTTTTTGGCTGCGTTCATAATTTAACCATGCAACAGGGAGTGGGTTTCGCTGCAGAGGGGGGTTATGTGTTATATCGGGGATTCAAAGGGGTGGATTTCATACTGGCTAGACAAAGCGCCTTTGAGCTATTTGTGGCCATTGAAAGCGCTGCTGCACGAAAACTGCCGGCTAACTGAACTCGTTCGTCGTTTTGTGGCATTGTTTTAGGTCTCTGTGCTCGGAGGTTTGGCCGACCGACCGACCGACAGTTTATGCAATGCATTTAGTCAATAGATTAAGGAGGCCTGCGACTACACACATATAAATATATATCTAGATTTATATATCGCCACGTGTGTGTGAGTAACAAATCGTGACTGCATGAGGTTGCCGTTAAAATATACTGCCCCGCACAACTGGCGATCGAACGACATTAAAACAATTTTAGTTCAGTTTTTTGTCCTCAATTTTTAAGGTGGAGCCAGCGACAATTTTTTCTGGTGCTTTCAAGTAGCAAGTTGCACTGATTTGAAAGACAATAGTCTTTACAAACGGTAGGATAATCGAAACAATTTTTGATTTAAAAATAAAATAAAGTCTAAACTACATTTTTTTTGATTATAATTAATACAAATAATATTTATACTGAATACCTTTTCTCAAGCATAAGACTGACGTGAGTTATGCACTAATATTGAAAATTGCTTGAGAAATGTAGTAATTGTTAATTATAATTATTTAATCATTGGAATAGGTTTTAAATAGATGGTCCGTTTCTAGCAAACATTCAACAACCGGAATGTTTAGTAATCAAACCTCTTTTAAACTTATATTTGATCTACCGAAATTAAAGGCTCTTTAAGGTGATTTCTGGATCATTTTTAAGCCCAACCATTCATAATTTGACTGCGGACACCACCTGGCAGATTTAAGGGAAATGTCGCTGGCCATCGCACCACCGTACCGACGCATGCAACAGGAAATTCATTTCCATAATTTTTGCGTTTGGCCATTTCGCATCCCTTGCGCTTGACTGGGCATTATCCTCTTAATCAGCGAGTGGGCAGGAGGTAAGAGGTAAGAGGTAGAAGGATCCAGGCGGCAGGCACATGGCAAGCCGTGTGGATAATCAGCCTATCAAGGATTCAATTATATAATGAGCTTAATTTATTTTGCGCCGCTTTACGCGACGCAATGCTACAGAAAGGACAGGACGGCCTTGTTTCATGGATCCGATGATGTTCATCATGCCAACTGAATTATCCTCTTTAATGTTGCTGTTTTTGTTGTCGCGATGTTGTTTTCCCCCTGTCTACGGCAGTTTTCTGTGACATGGAAGGATATGCCATGGCATGGCTTCGTCTTTTGCTGTTTTTTGTTTACCAATGAATTATTTCCAGATAATTGTTGCTCCGCAAAGCTCAGCATGCAATCCCGCATTTCCTGGCTTGGCTTTTTCAACCCTTTAACCGATTACGGTCAAGAAGAATAAGAATCGTTAATGGGCTTGATGACTCTTTATGGTTGACATTAAGGAGTAGTAAACAGAAAATTTATTGAAAAAATTATTTAGTTTAACAATAACATTGATGGGAGCCCTAAGCATTTATGAGTTTAATCATAATAAATCAGAACAATAACTGTGATTATCTGAGATTAATTGGGAAATAAAAGTAATCACGAACTTCTGGCTTTTTGTCTAATTTAGATGTGAAAACAATTTCCGCTATTAAGCCATTAGAGTTCCTAAACTCTAGCCTAGCCTTCCACTCCTGACGATGGGTGAAAACATTAATAATACCATTTGGAGGCGGGCAACTGATAAAACCGAAAGCCACAAAACGGTTTAATTTATGTGCAACCTAAACCAACTTCAGCAGCAGCAGTACAAGACCAAATGGAGTCTTATTTGGGTCTGATCATCCAGCAAAGACAGAGCATACAAGCCCAAAAAAGATGCGCCTACGTCGATAAAAGTTTTCAGGCAATTTGATTTATGTGGGGGATTATTATCAGCCGGTTAGATGGGTTTCTGCGCTTGGCGGTGAAAAAAGTGCCAAATTCAACGCCAAACTAAACGACAATTACAATTGTGAAATGCGTTTCTGTTTGCTATTTAATTTCCACCCCAGCTGCTGACTCAATTTCGCGCACACAACGAAAGGCAATTACTTTAATTATGCGACTGCACAGAAAAACAAAACCAAAACCCAATCACAGGGGCGACGACAGGCCACCAAACCCACTAAACCAACCAAACCAAACCAAACCGAAGCAAATCTGATCCAACCAAAGCGAACCAAATCATCAGATTGGATGGAGCAACACATGAAGGATGCGGGATTTGGGTGCCAGGGGCAGGAGCAGTGGTGAGGAGTGGGCTCCACCGGAGGAGAGTTGGCTACAGCGTCCGTTCAGATCGGTTTAGTTTTGGTTACCTAACCCGCAGACAAGCAGCTAGCCAACACAACGCCTGACGTGGCAAAGGGGTGTGCCACATGACGACGCACTCCCATCCGTTGGTTAACAAAAAAAAAATTTAATTTTTTGTGGCTACTTTTTTACTTTTGCGGAGGGCATTACAATTTTCCACGAAATACGCTGGAAAAGCATACAAAGTTTCCTAAAAGTTGATAGTACTTAAAAGTAATAAAAGCTAATATTAATATGCCGTGTATATTTTAATTTTTAAATAGTGAAGCTAACAAAAATACGAGTATTTTAAATTTGACTTCAAATCATACCATGTGAAGTACAATTAAAATTCTGTAACAGGAAATATGTAATGTATATTATAAATTAAATAGTTTATTTTATTGTATATTCAAACTCTTATTGGCAAGGGTATCTAACTACTCGGTTCTCAAATAGAATTTGTTTTTTTTTTCTCTCACGCACAAAACTTTTTGACATAAGGCCCCTAACAAATGCGTGGCTAATGGACTTGGCTACAGATATAGATATAGAGATTTATACTCGGACGCGGACACATGAATGTGTAAATAACCGCGCAGTTTTTACAATTTGTCGCCGCATTTGCAGTTGGCCTCTCAGCGAGACTCACCTCAACGCGCGTCTAATTACAATTTGATTGTTTTTCTTTTTCGCAGTAATTATTTCAATTGTAATAAATTTTGTTGCCATTTTTGCGAAATATTATGTTGCAATTTGTTGGCCGTCCCTTGTTTACAGGTATGTGCGCTTATTCGAGAGCCCAATAATTTAATTTTTAATTTTATGCTTTCTGCATTTGATTGGTTTTTGCGTGGGAGTCGGCTGGAGTTGGCCTAATTGGTTTCTGCCGTACGAGGCGTGTGCTCTGCGTTTTGCAGTTAATTTGTTCGGGATTAATAATTTGCTAATCTGTGGCCAACTAATGACTGCCTCTTACTGATCTGAGTATGAAAATGGTTTTAATGTTTATGGGATGGCTTAGTCCATAATTTGCTGGATTCAGTTTGAAAATTGCTCTGTTATTCAGGAAACTTTGAGATGAAATGTAAAGTAGCATAGATTGATTAACTGGTCACTTGTTTTTAAAGAAAACTAAAAATAGTTTCATTTAATAGACAATCAACCAACTGCATCTTTTCGGAAGTATCAATTTTAATTGTAGTTAGATTGTTTGATTCATAGCAGCTCGATCGGCAAAGCTGCATTGAGTTCGCCTTCCTTTGTCGATAGTTTAACGACTAAGCCCACACTCGATACATCTGTTAGATGAAAGGCCCATGCTCGATGCAACACCAGATCATTGGCCAGGCAAAGTTTATCGCCAGGGGCTCAAAACAAACATTCAACTCAATTACACAACCAAAAGCACCGGCAAACGAACTGAGAACTGCAACAAAAAAATGTATAAAAAGCAAACGGATAACTGAGGAACAAGGTTAAGGTCAATTACAACAGGCAAAAGCTGCCACAATAACGACAGCGACAACTGCAAGCTATGTGAATAAATTGCGCGTGAAATATAGAATACAAATTAAGAACAAGTTTTTCTGTCTACTTCCAGTTGCTGGGACATCAGAAAAGCAAACAAAATGTAAATAAATAAATTTAAGAGGTTTACTTTACTTAACAAAAAAGGTAGAGAAGACTAGTCGACAGTAAAGTTCTCTTTAGTCTTTTGAATTCCCTAAATAAAACAATAAATATTTATTTTTATAATAAAAAACGAAGCCTTACAACTAAAATAAAATACAACTGAAATATTTACCAAATATTTCTATAGGTTGATACAAATTTATTGAATTACTTTTCGAATTTCCTAGTGTGTAGGGGCAGATATGTAAAGAAAGCAGAGCAGAATCGCAGTCGCTAAAAAATCCAGTTTATGTACAACAACAAATCACCCTAATGAGCTAAAAAACCCGATTTATGCAAAAGCAGAAATAATGGCAGAAAAAAAAATAGTATTGAGCAATTGCCGCAAAGTTCTGAAGTCGGAGGCATATCTTTTCCCACTGCCAAAGAAGCGGCAAGGTCAGCTGCAAAAACGGCAACCGCGCGAAACTTGTCATCAGAAGCAGCAATAACACAATCTACACAATCAACTGCAAAATATACAACATTGTACACTTAAAACAACGATCACAATAAAATAGTCATAAAAATTTTAATATTATAAAAAACAATGTGCTATATTTAAATATATAAGATTTGAAAAAGAACAAAACTTGAAGGTCATAAAAACTTTTTAAAGTTCTGAAATTTTTATAAGAGTATTTTTTTACATTACACAATTAATCATAATTGTTTGTTACGTAGAAACCAATTGACACCAAAAGTGTATATAGTAATATCAACAATTTGCATACATTTTGTTCGTAGTGTAAGAGAACAATAGTTGCCCAATTGCTTGCAGCTACACAAGCGTATATTAAATCTCAAAAGCGGGTCAGACACATCATCTGAGGTTAAAGTTAACTCGGCGGCGACTACCGAGTCTCATTAACCGGCTTAGGGGCTTAGGGAGTGGTTTATGGGGCAGCGGACAAATCAAATTTGTATCTTGACATTAAAGCCAATGATTGGCATCGCCGCGAAACTTAAATACATAGACTTTATTGTTTTTCCCCTCGTCGTAACCTTGAACTTTGCCGATTTGAGGCTTGGTTATTTGCAGTAATAAGTGTTTAAATCTACTTGCAGACTGCCACGAAACGGTTCGCTCCAAGCGAGCCAAACGCCCCCGTGCTCCGGAACCGGTAAACTTTGAGCCAGAGCCGCAGCAGGATCTGGAGAATGATGAGAGCGGCAGTCAGGAGAAGGACCTGCCGGAGATACCGGACAATTTCCTCAGCCCCTCGGTGCGGGAGTATCTCGAGCTGGGTAAATCTATTCCCGGTGAGTTCGATTTTTTAGGATCTCAAAGCAAATAAACAAGGGAAGCACCTATTATGTTAGTCAATCAATATGCATTCCCCGATGTCCAATCATTAAACATGCCACCAACTCGAATAACAATGAAATTGTGTCCTCTGGGAAAGGGTTGTATCTTTTTTAAACCACTTTTTTGGATAGCCGGACCAGCAGCGGAGCTGAAGATGAGCCAGTGAAATGCATTTCGCGCCATCAGCGACAGGCCAGAAAAAAGTGCACGATTTTAAATTATTTTCCGACGAGCGAAATGGATATTTGGCACAGAAGTGCATCTACTCGTAAATTCATTTATTAGCGCCAGAGAGGCGACTGAAACCGGTCTGGGGGTTTGTTTATGTTTTTCTTTTGTTGTTTGTATTTGTTTTGTTGGCGAGAGAATTCAGTTTTTCGGGGACCCCGGGGCAGCGCGACTGCAGTTGACACTTTTGGGGAGGTAGGAGCATATTTTTTCCTGCCGATTTCTTCTTTCAAGTAAGGTTGGATGAAGTGAAATTGATTGGAAACCGCCGACTGCGTGTCATGCAGCAGTGCAGTGTGTTTTGGTTCCAGTTTATTTGCTTCTGCAGAGCGCCTCACTAATTGCAATAACAAAATCATTTGCAGGTCGTCCCGGCGTTGACTATCCAATTCTGTCGGCGGTGCCCTACACCAACTTCTACTGCGACGAGCAGGAGTATCCCGGATTCTTTGCCGACATGGAGACCAGGTGCCAGGGTAAGTGATCTTTAAACTTGGTGTACTTTTCGGGAATTTAATAAAAAAAAAACTAAAATTTGTATCAATATAATAAAGGGTCAAAGAGAAAACAAATTATTTTTGAAAGGGTCATAGTATCCATTATCATTTAATAAAGTATAAAACATTATACTGACAATAATTTCATTTTTTGTCGTTTCAAAATAATATTCTATTTTTCAATGTTTTACCTTATATCCAAAATAAAATTGTGTTAATAAAGAAAAATGGTATAGTCGTTTAAAATTAAACAAAATGTTAAAAAGCCTTTACAGAACAATAGCCTAAATTTGGCTTTTTAAAAGTGCGAATTATGTGACTAAAATTAAATTCCCAAATATTAATAGAAACAATTTTTTTCCTACAGGTTGGCACTACTGCGACATCGATGGACGCCAGGCCACGTTCCTCTGTCCAAATGGCACCCAGTTCTCACAGGCGGTATTCGTCTGCGACTGGTGGTTCAATGTGCGCTGCGATCTCTCACCCCGGCTGTACGCCATTAACGCCCGACTCTACCAGCGCCCCAAGGTGAATCCCACCAGGCCACATCGCATTATCACCAAACAACTGGTCGACGACATCTTCACCTGAACCCCGAGTGATCCTCCATTCAATCTAGCTTAAGTTTGCCGATGCCTATTAGTTTTTAGATTAGTTCTGATATAAGTTGCTCTCATTAAATATTTGTAAATGAAAAGCAGCATGAAATATTAATAGAAATTGTAAAAGCTAGTTAATTTTAAAATCTATGGTTCTTTTTTTTAAATGTAATATATTTTAACCTTTGTTTCAATGCAAAGCCCTTGTACAAACTCTCCTTTAATCTATTTTCAATAGTTTCCCAAGATAGACTTCTGTAATAAACGATATATGATTTGAACAACACTGAATTTTTCTGTAAAATCTTTTATGTTTTCTTATAAAATTATTTTACTATAAATCCATTACCTATGCAATAATAGAAGAAATATTCAAAAATTAAGTTAATAAAATTAATAGACCCAATTTGTTAATGAATTCAGATTGAGTTTAAATGTAACCACATTTTGACGAAATTTCCCTAATAATTGCATTTTCTTAGCATAATAATAATAATAATAACTTTTAAAATACTTATTAAGGATTTGTAAATATTTTAAAATTTTAATATAAATTTTAAAATAAAATTGCTCCTCAGAAGAAAAAACAAAAGTTTGCCAACTACATATTGAACGACTTATGAAATGGTAAATCATAATCATTAAACGCTTTAGGCGTGCATTCACGAATAAATATTTTGTCTATCTATCTTAAATGGCTGGCTGTTTTATTAACTCTGTGTATTCATGAAATACATTTCCAAATTTCTTGCAGCACAAACTTAGGCACTGCGTTAAAAGTGATGTAGTGCTGCATACTTTTCGTCACTCGTCGCAGATGCAAGCAGCCAAAAATAGGCCAAGAAATGGTGAGCGCAACAAAAGTTGGCCAAAACCAAGTCATCGGCAGCATCAACGTCAGCAAAAGCAAAGAAACGACTCAAAAGCACAAAATGTGGCGGCTAAAATCGTGCAATGCAAAACTGCTCGGCATGCGGCTCAATGGTCTAGGGGTATGATTCTCGCTTTGGGTGCGAGAGGTCCCGGGTTCAAATCCCGGTTGAGCCCGGCTCACAAATATTTTTATCTACCCAAACTGCCAACTCTTGTGGGCAACATTTTTATGGCCACGGCCGAAAGTTAATTAAACAAACAAAACAAAAGCGAGGCGAAATGAGCGATGTGAAAATGCAGATTGCAAAGGCATTTTCGGCCAGGCCAACAAATGAACGAACGTTGCACAGATGGCAACGCGTTGATTGGTTGGCAAATAAACTGAAGTAGCAGTAGCAGCTAACTTGCGATCAGTGATGGGAAGTCCCTTACAAGTTGTACCTGTACTCACATTTTCTATTTATTTTATATTTATTTTATATTTATTTTATATTTATTTTATATTTATTTTCTATTTACTGATCCTTACCACGGCCTCAATAACTACCCTTTCCTGGGAAAAACGTCAAATCAAATGTGTTGCTCATTTATACTTTATTGGACCTAACAAATATATTGTAACTCGTTAATGGAATATTCAAATTCCGATCAGTTTTCAACAAAAGTACTAGGCTTTAAGCTTTAAATACATCCTCGTTTAAAATTAATTGTAATATTATAAGGGAGTAGGGGATTAAGTAAATCCTTACTATAAATACCTTGAGAGGTTGACTTTCCTGGCCCAACAAAAAGTATTTTTTTTTGGAATTTGCATTTGACAAGTGCTCAAAAGTTTTAAATTTATTTATTATAAACTTATTAGTATAAAAAAGATAGTTTAAGTGGTTTAAATGTCTGCATATCAAAACCTTAATAATACAAAGGTAATGTGTATTATTTTATGTTTTGTACCTCATATCGGTAAACACAAATGGTCCCTCCTCAGACCCAGCACTACTTGTGATGAAAGGCAGGCGAAGCGGATAACTTTTCGGCTAATACTCGTATTACAGCCGATTTTGAGCCAAGCACATGCAACTTGTTTGGGGCATTTACGATTGACTTTGCCGATAAGTCTTTGTGTGTTTTATCGCCGACAATTGGAAAATTGAACAATGAGTGTCGCTTTGGGGCCGAATGAAAACTCGAACTCCACGCGAACAGAAAGTGTGAAAGACTTATAGCGGCAGCCGAAAACGCGAACTAGTCGTGCCTATGATGTAAGCCCCCACAAACTATTTCATTCGGATCATTTCTCTGTTTATTTTCATGGGGGAAATAGCGGCGACAAAGCCATCTGGCGGTCATAAATATGTTTTCGGTTAAAGAATAGAGCCATCATATTTTGTAATGGCCTTATGTGGCTATCGCATCGAACTATTACCAAAACCAAAACCAGACAAATGCATTTCCGAAAAAAAAATAAAAACTACTTTCACTCGCTGTCGGATGGGAATTAAAATCACCCAGCAATATGCAAGTTTTTTGATCCGCGATCGCCATCTAAAAAAAGTGCGGAGACTGGCGATGGATGGCCTTCGCATCGGAACGAGATGATCGAATCACCAGCTGTCTGGAACATGGCAAGATGGCAACAAGTGCGGGCCAGTTGAAGTAAAGTAACCAGCAGAGCCGACAACTTGGCAGACCGAATTTAGTGGTTAAGTATTTGCTTGCCAGATCAGACCAGCAGCTGCCTTCTGGAGGTGGCTGCGATTGGTAGCATAAGCCACTCTACTTATTTATTAACTCCACGTATAACTTCCTAAACTCAACCTTTGCAAACTCAAAGACACTATAACTCTAAATTATTTAATTAGCCATAATAAAGTTAATAAACAAGTACTAATATCCTATTAATGGCATGTTTTGTTAATTAAACTACCTTAAAACTTGGAACTCAAAATATTGCAAAATTGAATGGATTTACAATTTTTTTATAAACTAATAAATGCAATTTAATTTTGTTCTGCCATCAAATAAATTAGTTTTTTTTATTTATTTGTTTATTTATTCGCCAAACAATTTACCTTTCAATCTCAGCAAGGACAAATAAAACTATTTTAGTTATTCTACTGACTATATTTAAGAAGGTAATTTGAAGATTAAAAAAAAAAAAAGCGTCAGGCAAGTAATTATTAAATTCTTTTAACAAAAATGATTTGCACTTAGAGTTTTTTGTTATGGCAAAAGCACGATGCCATCGCTATTCAACATTCTGACATGCTTTAGGCGATTTTCGAATGCAACGACATGAAAAATAAGAGAAACTGTTATGGAATAAATCGGAATTCTTGCCACAGCATCGGCGACGGGCATCGGTGGCGTATGTGTAATATTATTTCGTGTATTTTTTGCTTAGCAAACCAGTGCACGAACCGAAATCAATCCCAACTGCAGTCGAACAAATCACGAGCAAGCTACAAACTGCTGTCACAAGAAGTCTTAACCAGATTGGCTAATGATTCGGTTAGAGACGGATTGCAAGTCAGGTGTGGTGTGGTGTTGTGTGGTTCCATAACTGTTAATGACTTTCGGTGGCGGCCTCAAAAGTGCAATGGAAACACATTTAATGAGTGCCGCACAGCACAGCTCAGCGGGCATCAGCGGTCTGGTCTGGCTGCTGATCAATTGCCAGTTGTTGGCCAAGTGAATGTCATTGGCTATTGAAAGTGAATGTTCGTTGCCCCCTGGTGAAAGGATCACTCATTTGGGGATTCGTTTTCCCACTAATGAGGAGCAGGCGGTGGGTGCTCCACCTATCAATACTCAGCATCGTTCATCTGCCAAACAATGTTGCAACAAATACACTGACAAAGAAAATCTTCTTGCCTTTCTAAATTTAAAACCTTTATTCTACCTTCTTGAAATTAAGAAAACCAATTGGTAGGCCACTCTTTTTTTTTTACTATTTTTCTTTCCTTAAAAGGTCTGTAAGCATTTGCAAACTATGAAAATGTATATAATTTTTCCCTTCGTGTACTTTATGAGATACAATTGTGCAAGCGGACCAGAAAACAGTCAGCGCTTAATTTGCCTATCAATGCTCTTTTTCAATTTACGTGATGAATTGCGGCATCTCTGGGCTATGAAACATGAGAACCCACCGCTCCAAGTCACGCAATTCAAGTGTAAAATTACATTTTCTTCATTCATAAAATGCAACATGTTGCCGCTGCTGAAGTTGGCAGAGAAAAGCGTGAGCATTTCCCCGTCGTAATGAGGCAACCACAATGCTATTGCGGGCGCTGCGGAATGTTGCAGAAGGTTTTGGGGGGTATGGTAGCAACAGCTATGACGCCGGCCATAGATGTAATACCAGAAGGCGTGAAAAGTCGGTTATTTGGTCAGTAGTGGGCAACGCCAGAAACAACAAATAGCGGACCAACACCCACAGACATTACATATTGTAAAGCCAAAAAGTTATGTTTTCAACCAACGGAAACATTTAAAAATAAAAATCTTAATAAAAGAAAATCTAATATATCATTTATTTATTTTGTTTGCTCAAGAAAATATGACCAACTGAATGCAGCTAAGAAAGCTTATAACCAGTAAGGACAAACAGATTTTAGCAACCAGCAGCAAATCATGAAGCACAGAAACTGTGATGATGCCTTTTGTGCAAGAAATTTGTTTTAGTAAATCAGAGAGGCAGTGACAAATGTGCTGTTGGCTATGAGCCGAGATATATGTGGCTAACAAACCATTACACGCATTGTCAAATTGAGTGTAAATAACTTGGTTGTATCAACAAATAAATCATGCCACTCAACAGAAAAACTCTGGTCGCAGCCACTGAACTCTGAACTGCAGAAAACAGGGGGCAGTTTGAATCGAACACAAAACGGGGTGATGAGAAGGTAAAGTGCATTTGCATAATGACAATGCAATTTCAAATAAACGCAGGACACATGTCAACGAATAAATTAATTTACTCTAAATTTATTTATGCAGCAAACAAAGTGAGAGTAGCCCTGAACAGCACTGCAAAAAAAGTTTAATAAGTATGAGCCATTTGTTTTAAATTGTATGATGTAGTTGTCGATGTTCATTTTAGTAATAACAGTTTCGATTGGCTGCAATAACAGAAAATATATTTATAAATATTTAATAAATATAATCTTATGGTTATAACTACTATCTTGATTTATAACTATTTTATCTATCGTACTAACTTATTTTGTAAATGCAAAATGTATTTTATTTCACTCTTAATTAAACTGCATTTTAGTAAGGATGCTAGGATGATTAAAAAAATATATGAATTGAGATGATTATAAAAGTATTAAATTTCTAATTTATATTTATTTTTTATTGCCAGTGCATGACCCGATTCGAAACGACACGCACACGACATCCAGTATAC